AATTAAGAGGTATGCAAAAATGCAGTTTAAAGAAACCCCAGTATTTTAATTCCTTTTCAAACTAAACGACAAGAGAATTGATAGAGTGTAAATGTTGGAAAAACTGTCGATAACGTAGAGAAGAGATGTATCCAGATTATTGCTTGCAGAACAAGAGAAACCCACACATGAAATCTGGTTTTGAAGCACAAAAACCTGGTATTTCCTAGAATCATAGACTGGCTTGGGTTGGAAGGGATGTTAAAATCCATCTAGTTCTACCCCCCCTGCCATGGGCAGGGACACCTTCCACTATCCCAGGTTCCTCCAAACCCTGTCCAACCTGGCCTTGAACGCTTCCAGGGATGGGGCAGTCACAGCTTCTCTGGGCAGCCTGTGGCAGTGCCTCGCCACCCTCACAGGGAGGAATTTTTTCCTAATACCAAGTGTAACCCTTCCCTTTGTCAGTTTGAAGCCATTCCCCCTTGTCCTGTCACCCTGTGCTCTCCAGCTCTCTTGTGGGCTCCCTGCAGGTTCTGGATGGCCACAGTTAGGTCAACCCAGAGCCTTCCCTTCTCCAGGCTGCACAACCCCAACTTCCCTCCTAGGAAAGGTGCTCCAGCCCCCTGATCATGTTTGTGGCCTCCCCTGGAGTGGCTCCCACAGGTCCATGTCCCAGAGCTGCCCACGGCGCTGCAGGGGGGGCTCAGCAGAGCAGAGGGGCAGAACCGCTCCCTTCCCCCGCTGCCCACGCTGCCTTCGGGCCAGCCCAGGACACGGTTGGCTCTTTGGGCTGGGAGTGCACGTGGCTGGGTCCTGTCCAGCCTCTCACCCAGGTCCTTCCCAGCAGGGCTGCTCCCGATCTGTCACCCCCAGCCTGGATTGCTACAGGGGGGGTTGACCTGACCCAGATGCAGCACCTGGCACTTGGTCTTGTTAAGCCTCATGAGATTCCCATGTACCCACTTCCCAGGCTTGTCCAGGTCCCTCTGGATGGCATCCCATCCTTCAGGAGTGTCAACAGCACCACTCAGCTTCGCGTCACCTGCAGACCTGCTGAGGGTGCACTCGATCCCTTCATCTGTGTAATTAACGGAGATCTTAAATAACACTGGTCCCAGTATGGACCCCTGAGGGACACCACTTGTCACTGATGTCCATCAGGACTCTTGAGCCGTTGACCACTGCCCTCTGGATGTGACCATCCAACCAATTTGAAACATTTATAATTAACCTTCTTTTTGAGTTTTAATTTCACGACTACATTTTCTTTGCTCTATCTTGTAGTTGTATTTTTGTGTTTATGAATCCTATGTTAAGACAGAAGTGGTGATTTATAAGTGGGTCACTGCAGCCCTCAAAACCTGGGCCAGGAAATTTTATTAATAGGTCAGTAATTCTACAATTTTTGAATCTCTGATAAAGACAAAAAAAGGAATAATGTGAAATACAAATGATGCCTGTATATGAAAATGTCACATGTTAAAATATGTAAGCTTTTTATAGAGCCTCAGTCTTGCTGATTTCAAACAAATTTTTCTTCTATGTATCGCTTTTAAGAGAGCTATCAGTTTAGCTATCAGACTCTAGGTTGATGCATTTTTGTACTTAGCTGTACTGTGTGATATTTTTCATTATTTTAGGAAGCCAACACGGGGAAAAAAAAAATACTGTTATAAAATATGTAATGGGGTTTGAAAGCTGGGAAGGAGAATATACTGCTGTACAGCTAATAAATAATAATGGATTAACACGTGTGCTCCCCGGCTGCTTTCTTTGTGTGCATCAACGGTGTGACCTGGCAGCCATCTCCAGATGGGAAAGCCGCTCTTCCCACAAGGATGCTGCAGGGACTGGCTCCTCTCTGGCTGCAGGTGTTCCCTCTGCCCCGTGCTGAACACGAGGTACCCGTCCCTGCCCTTAAATTGGGAGTGATGCCCTGTGTGTAGTGGAGAGAGGATGTGAAGTGTGAGCCTCGGTGTTTGCAGGTGAGCTCGGAGTAACGCGGGAGGAGTTGTTGCTTCTGATTGTTTTGCCTGCGGGTTTAAATGCTGATGGTTTAGCTAACAGGGATGTCATTTCCATTTCATTCTGGAAAATGGGGCTGGCACTCTGGTGGCATTTCTGTGGGGTGTTTTTTTTTTAGTTGTCTGTGGCAGCAGCTTAGGGAGCCAGCTGTGGGCAGTCAGGAAGCTGCACACTCTGCAGGTTTAGGGTAGGACCTGGTACTGTTGGTGCAGGAGTCGCTGCAAATTACATAGAAAATTGTAACGGGCATGAGAGTTGTTAGATTTGGTTTTCACTGGGTGCTTGGTGACCAGTTATCTGTGGTCCTGAAAAGTATTCCTTCAGTATGCCCGGGAAAAGCTGCCTGGAGGTGGAACTCTGGAGTTCTGAGCAGGATGGAGGCTTGTTGTGCTGTGAGTGCTCCTTCTGCAGCAGCTTGTGCTGGGTGACCCCGAGGCAGGGGCTGCAGCTCTCCTGGGGTTCAGAGGAGGTGGCTGTGTGTGAACAGCGTGATGGTGGGCCGAGAGGAAGAGAGCCAAGAGGTGTATTTGTCCAAAGATTACAGGCGGTTGCTGCCAAGTAGTCTTTGATGTGCTGGTGGTGTGCTGAATTCCCTGGCAGCTCCCACCCTGCCTGGCACAGCCCAGGGCCGCAGCAGGCCTGGGGAGGTGAGACCAGCAGCTTCTGCTGTGCTTATCTGAGGAAATACCGTCTGAGGAACGATTCCTAAGTAACTTTTTGACTGTGGACTGCTTTTTGAACTTTTTCCTCAGAGACCTCAGCAAGGGTTTGTTGAGGATGGGAGCTGTCGCCCTGTGGTCATCCTCCTTTCTTCCCCAGCCTGGCGTGTTACCTTGTGATCTGCTCAGTTGACCTGGTTTCTCTGTGCTTGCTCAGTCAATAGCCCCGTTACGCAGAGTGGGTTTTATTTGATTTGAGCTGTGGCTCCTGCCTTGGGCAGGGATCTCTGCCTGGGTGCCTCTTGCTGGCTTCTGGAGAGATGTAGAGTAACATCCCATCCCAGGCTGCTCCTGAGGACACACATCCAGGGCAGCACCCAAAGCCCAGATATGGACAGAACACTTCTGGCTCAACCCCAGAGCTCTTATCAGTGCTGGAAAAGCTGTGAGTGAAAAGCCAGGGCTGGTATGGATCCAAGGAACATCACTGCCTCTGCCAGCTGCTTGGCCTGGCTGCCATCCCTGGCGCCTGGGCTGCTGTCCTGGGAGCACCCTCGAGGATGGCATCAGGATGGAGAGGGGCAGAGACCAGCTCTGTGTGCCTGCTGCAGTGTGCCAGAGGCTTGGTGGGCTTCCAGAGGTTGAGAGCTCCCCCAGGTTAGAGGGACTAAATCCTCTTATGTTACAAAGCAGAGTCCACTGCTGGACACAGGGGATGGGTTTCTCTGTGGGTTGTTCTGGACATCCTGACCTGCCTGGGCTTGCACAGAGGCAGGGAATGCTTGTGCACATGGATGTCCTCCTCTGCCCCGCTCCTGAGGTAGATGTTCTGATGCTCAGAATGTCCCAGCATGTGGGACCCAGTATTTTGGGGAATTAGCTCAGAATGCAGCTTGCCAGGAGATTCTTTGTGCTTCGATAGGAGCCATTCTGATGGGTGCAGTGGGACAGCTCCTCTCTCTGTCCTGAATATCCTTGCATGACAAAACTGGGACATGGTGCCCTTTCTGAGAAGTTGAGATACCAGTAGCTTGGCCTCCTCCCACCCTGGAAAAAACATGGAACCAGACAGGACTGCTCCTGGTGGCTGCTGTCTCCACTGGTTGGTGAACACCCTTTGCCCTTCCTGGTGTTCATCCATCCGCTGACGTAGCTCGGGAGGCTTGAGGAGGTGCCTCAGCAGAGGTTGGTCCATGTTCTCCCCAGCCATGTCCTTGAGAGGAGCTGCCTTGTGTTGTGGTTGGGCTCTGTGAAGACACCGTCCCTGCGGGGAGATGACTTCCTGCCTTCACCCAGAAGGTGGTTTCGGAAGTGCCGTAGCCCCAGGTTCATGTGGCAGGAGGGCAACATCGCCCAGCCCTTCCAGGGACCACCTTCTCCCAAGTTATTCCCCCCCTGGGAAAACCCTGTGAGTCCCTGGTTGGCAGATTGCAGTCTGGAGCTTGGACGTTTGTCAAAAGGGGCAATTTAGGGGAGAAGGCAGCTGGCACCCTCTGTCCCTGTGGATGCTGGTCACAGCCTGCTGACTGAGAGCAGCTCAACCTGCTCCCTCAGAGCCTCTGTCCTGGAGTGCTTTTGGCTTTTTGCCTGGTCCAGAGCCTTCCTGGGAGAGTGGAGTGGTTGATGCACTGAGTCCTGTTGCTCCAAGGAGGTCACCTGGCTTCTGCCTCTTGTCCTTGCTCTGGGGTAGCAACGTAGTCACTTTGGCAGGGTGCCTGGGGCGTTTCTGCTCTGGCCATGAGCACCCACACCCACCCTCTGGAGAGCACACTGCAGTGGGCACCAGCACCCACCTCCATCAACTCCCCTTGCAGATTCCCAATGCAAGGTGCTGGGGCTGGGCTGACCACCCGGTGCTGTGAAGGGTAGAGCTGCCCTCTCCCCACTCACCAGAGGTCTTCAGACAGAAATGTGTCCCCATGAAGCACCTCGGGGGGCTGCGGGATGGGGACAGGCCATGGATCCTCAACCCTGGAAGGCTGGAACTATGGAGAGATGCTACCGCTCCGGGCCGGGATGCTCTGGCGGGGTGTCCTGCTCACCCAGGGGATGCCATGCAGGGGGGAAAAGGGAGATGGGTCGTGACGCCCCCTCCTCCCGGCGGGGCCGGTGGGCCGTGGGCACCGTCGCTTTCATTTCTCTTCTCTTGCTCAGGCGGTAAATCTCGCCTGACGGGGCAGGAAGAGGCACCGGGAGGGGGAGGAGGCACCGAGGCTGCGGCGCTGCCGGTTGGTAACCTCAGCGCTTCCTCCCCAGCAGGGTGCCTTTCCCGCGGCGCCCAAGGATGCTGCCCTGACAGCGGCATCCCCGGGCAGGTGACCCCGCGGTCCCACCATGGCTGCGTCCCCCGGAGGGATCCCCGCGGAGCTGCAAGGTAAGCATCGCCCGCCGCCGGGGCATCCGTGCCACATGGAAGGCGCCAGCACGGGGCCTGCTCAGCCCCAGTTTGCTGTGCTGGGGTTGGCAGGGCCACTTTCGGGTTCCTCAGCAGCAGCAGCTGAGGTTCAGGGGGGTCCAAGAGGTGTCTGTGGGATGCTCTTATCCCCCAAAAACTCACATGCCTGAGGATGCAGCTTGGACCAAAAGCATCCCCAGATAACCTGTCTCCTCAAGGATGGGGTTCTGCACGGCTCAGGCTGCCTGGTTTGTGGGTACAGCTTTTGGTGCTCCTCACTCCCATGGGCTTGGGTTCTCTCTCTGTCTTGGGGGTCCCCAGCAGCTCCCTGGGGAGGCACAGCCTGCAGCCCAGGCTGAAGTACCACTGCTCCCAGACTTCTCTCATCTGATTGAAAAGCCAAGGGTCCTTCAGCCTCATCAGCCCCACTGAGGCTTGAAGCAGGGTGGGAAGGAGCTGGGTCACCACGTCCCTGCAGCCTCAGGTCCCAGCGCTGCCAGGGTGGGTCTGTGGGGACACCTGGCTCAAACCTCTGCACCACAGGCGTTGGGGGTGTTGTGGAAGCCTGGTTTGCTTTGCATGTCAATGGACAGCTGTGGTTCTGGTCCTGTTTCTCCCTGGGGGAGGCAGGAATCAGGACAGGTGGGGAGGTGACGCTCAAGGCAGGAGCAACGCCCACACTGGGCCAGTAACTGTGGGAGAGACTGGTCTGTGGACATGGGGAGGTTGGTACACGAGACCACCCTGGCTGCTCAGTGGGGAGGAAGGACTTGGGGTGCCCATTGGCTCCTCACTGGTAAATTTGGGAAGGAAAGGAGAGAAACGAGGACCCTCTTGTCACTCAGTGCCAGCTCCCAGTGAGCGAGGGCAGTGTGAGCCAACGACCCCAAAGCCCTGTGCTCAGCCAAGGCTGTGGCAGGTGATGGGGAAGTGGGTGCATCATTCAAGTAGCAAATGAGACCCACAGCTGGTGAAGTGCGTGGTTTAGATGAGAGCAACCAGGGTGTGATTTCAGGTGTGGATGGAGCGGAGTATATTCAGGTGGGCATGCAGGGACAGTGTCCCCAAGGGCAGCAGGGCGTGTGGAAGAGAACCAAGGTGACTTCAGCCACCTCATTTCACGTGGGCATTGGTCTTTTCAGAGGGCATCAACACCTTCCTGGGGACAAAGAAGGTGCTCCTGGTGCTGAGTGTCCAGCTGCAGGTGAAGTCCAAGTATGACGACTTCGTCTTGGTACGTGCAGAGTCCTGCCTGGTTCCCGCTGTCCTGGCTTCCCCAGGCAGCTGTTTGATGGCTGCAGTGAGGGGCAGAGGTGGCTCCCAGGTCACCACTGTCCCTTGCCACAGCAATGTCCCCCTGCCTAGGTGCTGACGCCCTGGAGAGCGTACGTGCTGCCGGTGGTGCTGCCGGTGAGGGTGAGTGTGGGGTGGTACAGCCCTGAGGGGGCTTGGGGCACTGGGGTGAGTGACCTCGGGGTCACCTGGGTCTGGGGAGCTCTCAGGAGCAGGATGAGGAGGGGTCTGGTTCAGGGGCTGGTGAAGGCTGGGGGCAGGGCCAGGCACTGTTTGAGGTGTGGGGAAAGGTGGGGGCTGGGGGGCACCCTTGGGTCCCCCTTCTCCATCAGCGCTGGGGCTGATCCTGCTCTTCTCGCCCACAGGTTCACAGCAGCTTCAGCTTCCTGGAGGTGAGGGAGATGACAGTCCAAGAGCCCAGTGTGGTGAGTGGCACCAACATCCAGGGCAAAACCAACCCAGGCAACCCCCAAACTTGTGCCCACCTTCCCCCCTGGGAAACCCTGGTCTCGAGCCCACCACAGGGTCTGGGGGTGTTCTGGTTCCTCGTTGCACATCGAGGGTCACCAGTGATGATCCCTGAGAAGCTCCACAGGGTATTTTTCTCTTTTCCACCTGAAAATAAATCCTCTTATGGCCTCACTGGGGGACTCACCCTCGGGGCTGGAGGTGCAGGGAGGCACCCAGGGGTGCTGGGTGGGTGCCTGCCCCTCTCCTCCTCCAGCAGCTGCAAACAGCACCTGGCCGTGCTCAGCAGGGACAAGGTGACAAATGGCTGCTGGCTTACCAAGGTGAAGACAAATTTAGCAGGACGGTGTTTTAAACCCAGTTAATCCTCTTAGAGAGAGAGGCAGGCACTCAGGGCAGATGCAGCCATGGGAACCATGGGAGAGAGGAACGGGGTGCCCAGGCTTGGATGTGTTGGCTGGAACAGGGCTATGGTCCTTGTTAACCTCCTGTCTGGTCCTTGTTAACCTCCTGTCTGGCTCTTGCTTGCTAAAACATCACCAGTGACAGTGGCCTCAGCCTCCAAACAGGGTTGCTGCAGCTCGGGAGGCTGCGTGGCTGAGCCCCGGGAGAGAACTAAAGGACCTGGGCAGAGACTGAGGGGTGCTGAGGGTTGAAACCTCGGGGTGGAGGGGGGTGAGACATCTGACTGGGTTATGGAGAGCCCAGGGGTTGTTAATGTGCAGGCAGACCCACGCTCTCCTGCCTCCGCAGCCCCGGGCACCGGCGGAAGCGCCGTCCTCGCCTGATGCCAGTGGATAATTGTCATCTTGCTCCCACGCCTCAATCAGCGTGTAATTAAATCAGGGAGCGTGTTGCCATGGGATTTTTTTTTTTTTTTTTTTAATTCCTGGTAGGAACCAAAAGCTAAAAAAGCCTCAAAACCCGATTAGATAAATTCAGGGAGGAAACCTCCATCCTCCAGCTGCAGCTGCTGCAGGCGGAGGCAAGGCTGTTCTCACCCCTCTGCACCAGCTTAGCTTGAATTTTGGGGAGGTTTATGCCTTATTCTTGCACGTTACAGTCTGTTGAAGGTGTTTTATCCTGAATTCCTGGTGCTCACAGCCTTCCCTGCGCTCACGCTGCTCTGGCTGGGTTGGCACTGAGGAGCTGATGGCTGTCACCGTCGTGTCTGGGGGCTCTGGGACGCTCTGTGCTGCCAGCTTGCTCAGGCATCTCTCATCCTTTGGACCCCGCAGGTTGTCATAGAAACAGATGCAGCATCTTACGCCTTCCGGTTCATGTCCCTGGATGATTTGGAGCAAGTTGTTATCCATGTCACCATGTCACTTAAGAAGGTCTTTCCAGACTCATCCCTTGGGTAAGGGTCTTCTGCTCCTCAGGGGTGCTTGTGTGGGTACCAGAGCAACCTCTTTGCTCAGAAAAGTTGCAGATCACAGAATCCTGGTATGGTCTGGGTTGGAAGATCATCCAGTTCCAACTCCCCTGCCACGGGCAGGGACACCTTCAACCAGAAGGTCCCAAACGTAGGATGGGTTCACAAGTGTGTTTTAGTAGGAAAAACATGGTCAGGGGCCAGACCCTGCTTTCTGGATGAATATTTCTGGCCTCCCTACACACAAGGGTTATAGCTAAGCATGAAGTGGTGGAGTTCCTCTTCTCCCAGCTCACCACCACACATCCCTGTGATCCTTCCCCAGGACACTGCTCAAGAACTCCCCTCCCAGCCTGTATGAGAGGATCCAGCAGATCCTGGACTCGCTGGAGGAAATGCTGCAGAGCAGCCCTGGGCCCTGTGGTAAGTCCTGCTGCAACCTCCCCTAGACAGGACCAGGAGGGCTGGAGCACTTTGGGGACCATTCCAGCCCTGCATCCATCAACCCCAGCTCTGCTGACAGCTTCCACCTCTGCTGGCAGGGCACCGTGGTGGCTTCAGTCAGCTGGAGCCCTGCTAGTGGGGTCTGCTCTCCACCAGCCCAGCCCATCCCCTAGGGCAGGAGCAGGTTTGATGGGATGTGGTTTCAGGAAGCAGCAGGACAGCTCTGGGGTGAGGATGCTCAGGATCCACCTGTGAGGACCTGCAGCTGTGGATGCTTCCTCTCCCGTCACAGGGCATGGCTGCAGAGCTTTCCCTGCAGCCTGGTTTGGAGCAGGGTACCTCTATCATCACCATAGCAATGTGCCTTGCCTGGTATCCACATGGATCCAGCAAAGCCAAACACAGCCCCCTGAGCTGGGCCATCGCTTTTGGGCTGACAGCAGATCTCTGGCCCCCTTGAGGAGGGAATGGGGGGAGCCCTCACCATCCTTCGGAGTCCCTGCCATCCCTCTCCTGTTTCCTGCCCTCTCCCATGGGAAGGTGTGTGCCCCCAGGACTGCCTTCTCTTTGCAGGGGGTTTTTCGGAGACCTACGCTGCGCTGTGCGACTACAACGGCTTCGCCTTCCGCGAGGAGATCCAGTGGGTGAGCTGCTCCACCCCAGGCCCACGGGTGGGCAGGGAAGCAGGATGTCTGTGGGTGCCTCTGCTCCAGACAGCAGCCTCGTGGGGAGCTGGGAACTGCAGCTTTGCCTGGCTTGAGTGTGGGGCTGGGACATCCCAGGGACCAGAGGCATCTCGGGGGTATCCGAGATGGGAACTGCAGCTTTGCCTGGCTTGGGTGCCCCCTGCTCCTCGGTGGGCTGGAATCAAAGTGCAGGTGGGGGTCAGATGCCTTGGACCAGATTGTTTCCCAGATTGTGACCTAAAGAGAGCCCCTGAAAATCTGGGACCTTGCTGAATGTCTGTAGTAGAGGAGCTCCCTGCTGGGACTCAGCTATAACAGAACCCCTCTCCCTCTGGGACACTGATCCCCTCCCACCTCTCCCCACATCCTCACTCCCACCAGCCTGGGGTGCATTCCTTCTTCTGACCAATCCCTGCCAAATTGCTCCAAGACCCACCAGTCTGTCCCCACAAACTGGGACACGTTCCCTGCCCCCCAGAGCACCAGGGGAGGGTTTAGGCTTGGGGTTTAGGCAAAGGACTCCCCAGAAGAGGGTCCCCAAGGGCTCAGCTCCCTCCAGTAGTGCTGGGCACCCAAGCCATCCCCAGGACCAGGTGCTGAGCCTCATCCACGTGTCCATCCTTCTGGGAAGGACGTGGACAACATTTACCACAGCCAGGACTGCCGGGAGTTCAACCTGCTGGACTTCAGCCACCTGGAGAGCCGGTGAGTCCCCCAGCCGTGCCCTGTGCCACACCAGCCCTCATCCTCATCCTCCCTGTCCCTGCCAGGGGTGCCCCAGCACGCTCCTGCACTCGTGTTAGATGCATTGATCACTTTACACGCTCCAAGGATGCTCCCCCGCACCAAACACCACGAGCCCTGTCCCACGGTGCAACAACCCCGAGTCCAGGCAGCCTCTCTGTTCGTTTTTAACTCTTAAATCAGCCCGTGAGCTGCTTGCAGGGGTGGAAACCCAACGTCACTGTGGCTTGCAGCTCGTGGCTGTCAGGTGTTTCCCTATGCAAAGCAGCTGGTGCCACTCACCCCCTCGAAACCTGGCACTGCTCCCTGCCAGCCACCCCAGATATCTGTTATAACCTTATTAAAACCTTGTTATAACCTGACAGTGGGGCCACGAGGTCAGGCTGTGCCTGGAGTTGTCCCTGTAGGGCTCAGCTGTGTCTCCATCCCAAGAAAGATGGAGCAAGGGCTCTGCTCTGGGGTGAGGCAACAACCAGTCTGGGCTGAGTGTTTTGGGGAGCAGAGGACCTGTGTTCAGCTGACCAAGAAAGGAGGCGGTTTTAGACATTTCTTTGGACGGGGAAGTAAAAAAGAAACTTGTTTCCACTTGAGCAAAACCCGTGTCTGAGCTCAGAACTAAAAAGAATTTGAAACCCAGAGGTTTAGATAGAAGCATGCAAATGGTTTGAGTAATTTTGTTTCGCCCAGGGGAATAATCTGGGGAAGATAAGCTGTGTTTGTGGGTTGCTTTGAACTCATGGACCAGTCCTGCTCTGTTGAGCACTGTGTTGGGGCACCATGTTGAGTTTGGGCATTTTGGGGCACCCCAGGGTTGGGTGTCCTGGGCAAACTCATGGTTGGGTGCTTTGGGGCACCCATTTGGGACCAACCTTGTCTCATCCTGGCCCCAAATCCCTCCTCCCTGTCACCCTGCAGGGATGTGGCGCTGAGTGTCGCTGCCTTGTCCTTCAACCTGTGGTTCACCAAGCTCTCCTGCAAGGACTTCAGGCTGGTGAGTGCCTGGGCAGCTGCAGTGCTGGGAGCAGCAGAGGGGACCAGGTTTCCAGAAGGGCTTTCTCTTCTCCCTTACCAGAACCAGGAGATTTCGGAGCAGCTGCTCTACATGCTCAGCAAATCGGTGACGCTGGAGGAGCTGGTGCTGGAAAACAGTGGGTTGAAAGCGTGAGTGAAGGTGTTGCAAGGCAGTGATGAGCAGGGGCTCGGCACCCTGGGCATGGAGCAGGGAGGTCCGTGGACTCTCCCTGGGAGCAGAGACCCCCACAGCCTGGAAGGCCGGTGAACACCACCCACCCTCAGAGGTGTTCTTGGCTCCTCAGATGGAGCCAGCCCTGCCACCCAGGCAGGACCTGAGGGCTTGTCCCCATAAGGCTATGGGGTCGCTGGCTGTGTCTCCTGGAGGTGTCCAAACCTTGCTCAGATGGGTGACCCTTCTCCCCACAGCGACTTTGTGCAGAGGATGGCCCAGGCTCTCAGCAGCCACCCCGACTCTGTCCTGCACACCATCAACCTCTCTGGCAACCAGCTGGAAGACAGAGGTACCCAAATTCTGGGCTGGGATGAGTTTTCACCCATGAAAACTGATGTTCAACTCCAGATCTCACCAGCAGCTGCCCCCTGTGCTGGGGGCTCTGGCTCAGGGTGAGATGGACACCTGTCTGTGCTGACACAGCAGTTCAGGGCTCTCTGCTCTTCCATCAGGGATTGCTGCCTTCAGCCGGCACCTGGAGAAGAGTTCCAAGGGTCTGCAGAGCCTCAGCTTGGCCAGGACGATGCTCACAGCCAAAGGTACAGCTTGGAAAGGGCATCTTCATGGCTGTGATGTCCTGCTGCCCCAGCAGGGGGGAAATGCCCCTTCCACAGCTCTCCCCAGTGCAGGGAACCTGCGACCATCCATCCCTCCCCCTCTATTCGAGCAGGAATGAGCACGTTGTGCAAGGCCCTGGCAGATAACAAAGCCATTGGATTGTCCCTCCGGCACTTGGACCTCTCTGGAAACCCCGGCACCCTGGCTGGGGATGACATCAGCGTGAGTACCCCTGGTGTGATGGGGTGACACTGCCTGGGATCCGTCCCCAGCGTGGCTTGGATGGCTTTGGTATCCTGGGGGTCCATGCCCAGCTTTCCAGCACCCCAGGGATGGGAATGTCACGGCTGAGACCCCCCCTGACTGCCCAGGAGCAGCTGAGGATGCCCTGGGGACACCCCTCTACATCTCCCTGTGGGAGGGTGGGAGATGCCACCTGGAGCCAGGATGTATCCCATGAGTGAGTGGGTCCCTCTCACCAGGCAGGCTGGAGCTGGGATTTCAGGGCTGCTGAGTGGGTGGGGGGGTTCAGGGATGGGATTTCAGGGCTGCTGAGCCCCCTCTGCCCACAGAACCTGCAGAGCCTCCTCCGCCAGTGCCACTCCCTCTCCCACCTCAGCCTGGCTGGCACGGACTGCCCTTTGGATGCTGTGAGTACCCACAGAGGGGGTCCTGGCAGTGAGACCCTGCCCTCAGTGTCCCCCCCCCCCCCCTGGGCTGTGTGAGGGGCAGCAGCACCTCGGGGTCCTCCTCCACACAACCTGCATGCCCACCCTGGCAGCTCTTTGGAGCCCTGGTCCACGGGTGCCACAACAGCCTCATCCACCTGGATCTCTCCAAAAACCTGTACTCCCACAGGTAGGGCCCCGGGGTGGCACAGGGGGGGCCGTGGTGGCTGGTGCTGGGGGGGGACAGGTGATGCCACGCTGTGCCCGTCCTTTTCAGGAGGGTGAAAACCATCTCCCCTGACATCAAGGAGTTTTTCAGCCAGGCCTGTGCCCTCAGGCACGTCTCCCTGGCAGGGACCAAGCTGCCTGCGGACGTGGTGAGGTGAGGATGGGCTGGGAGTCCACCCAGGGGGAATGGATTTGGGATGAGCATGACCCAGGAGAACCCTGACTCGGTGGGGAGGGTGTGTGGATGGAGCTGTGGGAGGCAGAGCTCTGGGAAGGATTTCTTCTCCAACATCCCCCTCTCCCTGGCCCCTTGGGGTGCCCCACAACGTGTGCTGCTGCCCCCATTTCTTACACCAACGGGAGCTTTGGTGACTTTTCCAGGGCTTTGCTGCAAGGGCTGGCAGACAACAGCCACATCAGTGACCTGCACCTGGACCTTAGCAGCTGTGAGGTGAGGGGCCAGCACCCAGGGGTGCCACCAGCCCAGCCAGGGGGTCCCACTGCAGCAGTTAGGGGAGGTCTGTGCCCTGTCTGACCTTCCCCAAGGCAGGATCCTGTTTTCAGGGCTCAGTGCCTCCCCTTGCACTGATGTCTTGCTGTTTCTTCCAAGCTGAGATCAGCTGGGGCCCAGGTCATCCAGGATCTCATCCCTGATGCCAGCTCCATCAGCAGCCTGGACTTGTCTGACAATGGTAGGTTGCTTTCTCCCAGTCTGGGAGAAGGTCTCTCCATCTCCTGCATCTCACCAGATTTCCCTGGGGATGGTGCAGCCACGAGGATGGGAGTGCAGGCAGCTGCCTGCAGGGTGTGAGAACTCCCCCCACGCTGCCCAGGGTGGTGGGTGGGTGATGGAGGGCACATCTCTGGGGGATGGCACACAGTAAGTGCCACCTACAGCTCCGTAAGTGCCCCCATGGCTCCGAACAGCACCGGCACCCCAAATAGCAGGAGTGCCCAGAGTGGGTGCTCCTTCCCTGGGGATCCTCACCCCTCGGGGACTCGGGCTGTGCACAGGTCTTCAGTCTCCTTGAGGGAGCCAGGAAGGGAGGGAGACACTCAGGAGCTCCCTGAGCATCTCTCCACCATCCCACGGTGGCAGCTTGGTGGCTCTGCAGTTCTTCTGTGAGGGACCACCTTGATGCCACCTCCGTGGACTGCTTGGAGCATCCTGGTGGGTGTCTCCCATCTCTTGCAGGCTTTGACCCTGACATGGTGACCCTGGTGCTCTCTATTGGCAGGAGCAAGTCCATCAGGCACGTCTCTCTGGGGAAGAACTTCAACATCAAATCCAAGTAAGTGCAAAGCTGCAGCACCCAGGTCAGGAGCCATCCTGGCACCGTGCACCCACCCCGACTCTCTCTCCCCATGGAAAGCCCAGGGGTCGGTAGGAATTGCCTGCCCATCCTGGCTGCTCCAACCCAACATGGAGCCAGGGGCTGTGGGGGGACAATGCCAGCAATTAGTGCAGTCCCAGGGATGGGTTGTGGCATCAGGCAAGAGTGGGAGGGAGGATGGAGCTCTGCTGGCTGCCTCTGTGTCCCTGGGGTGCACATGTAAACCCCTCCCTTGCTTCTCCTGCAGGGAAGGACTGTTGGATGTCCTGCACCGCATCGTCCAGCTCACCCAGGAGGAGGACTGTGTAAGTCCAGCTTGCCCTCAGCCACCCCAACCATCCCATCTGTGCTCCTGGTCACCCTCTGCCACCACCGTGCAGCCTCCATACCAGGGTGCCATCCAGATCCCTCCTGGCTCAGGCTGGGAGCAAACCTCCCTCCCTCCCACTGCCATTCAAACCCTTCTGCTTTTATTTTCCTCGGTCTGAAGCAGATGCTCAGACAGAGAAGTGGGAGCTGTTCCCATTCATCTGGGAAAGCTGGAGCCTGTGTCTGGCTGAAGGCAGGGAGGAGACACTTGGTGTAACCTGGATGCAGCCCAGCTTTCCAAAAAAAATATCCCTCTTTTCTCCTCACTGCCTGCCAGGCATCTGAGCTAAATCCAGGCTGTTGCTTAAGCACCCACTGCCCTCCTGTTTCTTGGGGTGCAGCATCACTTGGTGTCTCCAAAAACAGCAGCAGCCCAGAGGCTTCTGGACAGGGAGGGAGGCTGCACCTTGACACGTGCCCTGGCCACCTCTCCCCCTCCTTGTCCCCTTCCCAGCCTCTCCAGTCGCTCTCTGTGGCTGAATCGCGCCTCAAACTGGGGACCAACGTGCTGCTGAGCGCCCTGGGCAGCAACACCAGCCTCACCGCCCTGGACATCAGCGGCAACGCCATGGGGGACACGGGGGCCAAGATGCTCGCCAAGGCCCTGCAGATCAACACCAGGCTCAGGTAGTGGCAGGTCTATGTCACCCTGGGGGTGCCCTTCCCGCCCTGGGAGGATGGTGGTGCCATCAGAGCAGGCTCGTCACGGCTCCTGGTGACCGTGGATGTGGCCCTGGACCATTCCTGGTGCATGGTCAGACCCTGTGCCTGTGTGCTGTGCTCGTGGCAGTCACTGGAAGTGCTGGTGGGGAACATGTGAAGGCCAAAAGAGCAGCTCAGTCCCTGCCCCGACCCTTGCCAGCTCTTTGCCAGGCTCCAGCACAGCCTGGTGTGCTGCAGACAGACCTTTGCAGTCACTGCCCTCCCACACACTCTGCCATCGGTTCCTAAAATGCCGTTTTTTCACCGCATTGTGCCCACAAAACCAAGGCAGGGGTGTCTGCAGGGGGCAGGGAAGGGTGTCATGACCCAGGGCTGTTCCTCTGGGGGACATCTGCCCCTGCCAGCAGGATGATACCTGACTCTGTCCTCCCAGCCTTTCACTCCCTCCTGCCTAATTTACAGCTGCTTGCAAAGTCCAACTTTGGGTTTTGAAAATTTAAGTTCACAGTTTTTAACCTTGTTTTCAGGCTTTCTTTGTGCCTGGGGTCAGCCCTGGGCTCACTGCTGCTGGCACCCACCTCAGGGCTGTGTGGGTGCAGCAGGGCTCCCCCATGTCCTTCTCTTTGCAGGACCGTGGTGTGGGACAGGAACAACACCACTGCCCACGGGCTCCTGGAGGTGGCTCAAGCTTTGGAGAGGTAAGGAAGGAGCTTCTTGGTCCTCCTGGCTTGCTACTGCCATGCAAAAGAGCCTCTGTCACCTGTCCCCAGGGCCTCTTGTCCCCTGGAAGCAGTAAAGCCATCACACAGTTGCATACACGTCCCAAGGGAGTTAGTCCACAGCTCTGGCCTTGCAGCCAGCAAACCAACCTGCCCCTGTTCCATGATGGCACCTTCATTATCAACCCCAGGGTCTCCCTGAGCAACCAGCACAGCCTCATGTCACCCACGGAGCCCCCAGCAGGCATGGGAGGGATCTGCTGGTGGTGCTGATGTGATGCTCCTCTCCTCCTCGCCCACGGAAGGTGGGCAAAAGTTGTCCACCTTCAGGCCTGGTGCTTGGCTGGGCAGGTTCTCTGGAGGTCTGAAGGAAGAGGGGTGCATGGAGAGCCTGGGTGGGTGGTTGCTGCCTCCCTGGGTCCAGCAGCACCCGCTCACTCCACGCTGCCTCACAGGAATTACACCCTCAAGTCGATGCCGCTGCCGATGAGCGACGTGGCGCAGGCCTATCGCAGCCACCCCGAGAGAACGGAGCAGGCTGTGCACAAGGTGAGGGGACGTGTCCCGAGGGCTGCAGGGCTGGGTGCCACCCACACTGCTCATGGCCCCTTGCCTCTGCAGCTCCAGTCCTGCCTGACCAGGAACCAGCTGCGGCAGACGCTGCCGGCCCAGACCTTCCGGCTGCAGCAGGGCATCCTCACCACCTCCTCTGAACAGGTTGGATGGCCCTGCCTTGCTAGAATGAGCTCTTGCAAGCAGCACGACCCCCTTTTCGCCTTTCCTGAGTGGAGGGCAGAGCAGATTAGAGGGATGGAACAGGTTGCCTGGAGAGGCGGGAGATGCCCCATCCCTGGAAGTGTCCCAGGCCAGGTTGGATGGGGCTTGGAGCAACCTTGGTCTAGTGGAAGATACTCCTGCCCATGGCAGTGGGGTTGCAACTAAATGGCCTTTAAGATCCCTTCCAACCCAAATCCTTCCACGGTTCTGTGGTGGGCTGGGCAGACAGCTGATCTCCAAGGAACCCTCCTGGCTGCGTCCGTGCATTTCATGCATATGCAGTGCTGAGATAACTTGCTGCTACGCCACCCCATGCAGAGTGTTCCCAGCAGTCTGGGCACTCTTGCAAGCAAGTCCCTGCCACGTGGCACCCCTGGTTATTGGGCAGGGTTGCTCTGGGGGGCTGTAGCCTGCCAGTGCCCCCACCGGGCACTGTCTTCCCCGGGAGCGCCGCGGCAGGGAAGGGAACTGGCAGTGCCGCTCTGGCGCCGGCACATGACGCAGCCTCTCCGTGCTCCAGATGGTGAATGAGATCTGCCTGAGCGTGCAGAAGCACGTCGACATCCTCAGCACCTGCCGGGGCAGGGAGGTGGAGGCGGACATCGCCTGTGCGGAGGAGGCCATCAGGAACGCCAACCTGTCCGTCAGCGTGAGTGCCCCGCACGGGAAACCCCCTCCGCTCACCCCCTCGGCTCGGGATCGAAGCAGGGCATTGATCAGTTAATGACATCATTAACCAGCAGTCAGGGAACGCCAGGATGTCGATGCAACAGATGCACATCACTGAGCATCTGCAGACGCTGGAGAACAGCTGAGCATTTCTGAATCCCCTTCTAGAGCCAGGGTCAAAACATTCTCAGTCCCCTCGCCCCAAAGGCACTCAGCTGTGTGAGCCCCCCAGGGAAGGCAGAGGTTACAAGTGCACCCCATCTTTTGCATCCCATGCTCGCACACCCCTCCTTTGGAGAGGTGTCTGCTCCAGCCTTGGGCATGCCCTGCAACCCAGAGGTGCCCACACTGGTGAGAAACCTCCCTGCATCCCTGAGGGGCTGTCCTCCCTGGGGCACCCTCATCCCACCCCAGTGATGAGAGTGCTCCATCAGCCCATGATGAAATCCACCACACTGGCTGGGCAGCTCCGGGCACTGTCAGATCTGGTTTGACCCTCTTGGTCCTGTTTCTCTCTCCCCATTGCACCTTTTCCTCCTCCTCCTCCTCTACTTCTCTTTAAACCACCTCCTTTCTCTTTTTCCCAACTGTCTCAGCAGCCCCCTGGGTACTTAATCTGATGGAGATAGAATTTAAGGAGGGGAGGGAGGGTCAGTGGGTGGTGGGGAGCAGTTGAGGGTCCATCTGGGGGGGACACAGTGACTTTGAGGGACTAGGATGCCCTACCCTGGCCCTGCAAAGCCAGATCTCAGGGTGTGCCCAGCTGATGCAGGTGATGCTGTTCCATGGCACAGTCAGAGGCGCTGGCTGAGCATGGAAGGACAGGAAGCGAAGATGAGGTGGCACAGGATGATCTGTACCACCTCTCTTCCCATGGCAGATCCTACCCCTCCTGTATGAAGCTGGAAACACCCCATACCAGAACGGCAAACTGCAGCACAAGCTGGAGTGTCTCACGGAGGAAGCGTCGCAGACCTGCGGCCGGGAGATCCAGGTGGGCAGCACGGGATACTCATCAGCCTTGGCCCAAGGATAAGGGAGATGGTGCCTCCTGGAAACCACGTGAATCCAGATAGAAAGGCACCAAAACTTACCCCTTTGTTCCCCACACTGCAGGCCATCATGCAGGCGGTGCTGGACACGGCACACAGCCTGTGCCCGGCCGTGGTGCAGAAGAGCGGGGTCAGGGATCAGCTGGTCAATGCCATGTCAGAGGGGATCTGCCTCCAGGACCACCTCAGCCTCAGTGCTGTCCTGGACCAGATGGTCACCGATGTCTTCAGCAAGCTGAAGTGGGTGATGTGCCATTCTTCCTCCTAGCTCAGCAGCTGTCACTCACTCTTGGGGCCAGAGGAGGATTTTGGGGGCTCCCTACCAACTTCCCCTCTCCCCACGTTGTGGTGGTGATGTGCTGGGTCCTGTTGCTGGGTTTTCCCAGCCGTGGCTTTGCTTCCTGCTTGGGTCTAGTTCAGGTTTGTCCCTGGGAAGCTGGGGGTTTCCATGGGATAATGTTCCTGCAGGTACATCCCCATGGATGGCAGAGGGGAGCCCCAACCATCCATGTGGGAATGCACTTGGCATTCTCCATCCCAGCCAGCACCTGTTGCCATTCCTGCTCTGGCAGCATGCATGTCCTGGGTGCCACAGCCAAGTATCCATCTCCTCAGCAAGGGGGCTGGCTCCATGGCTTGCAGGGGGTGGGTGCTGGCCCTGACACCCTTCCTTCCTTCTGCTCCCAGTGAAATCAAGCTGTCCATCACAGCTGCTGCAGCCGACTGCATCGTGGATGCTGTGCTGGGAGACCTGACCATCGCCCAGTGCAAACTGGTGAGTGCCAGGGGCACCAGCACCTGCGGGATAGGGATGTGGGGCTGGGATGTGGGATAGGGGTACCCAGCATTGCCCGGGCACCAGCCAACACTGTGACCAGGGATCTGCAGTCTGAGAAGCAGGACGACTTCCACCCAGGCTGGTTTTCCTCCCAGGTAATCCCCTCCTGGTGTGGTCACAGCAACATTAACGCCCTGAGCAAAGTCCTGGAGCTGCTGCCGTGTGGTGGGGGGTGCTGGGGCGAGGCTGGGCCCGGCCACTCGTGCACTGGGGAAGGCGTGGGGCAGCTGTGCCGGGGCTGGCAGCCGGCTAATCAGGCCTAAATCCGCTCACAAATCCCAGCCGTGGGTAGGGAGCGGAGCAGCCCGGAGCACACAGGGCAGCCAGGCGCGCTTCAGCCCCTGGGATAATTTAAGCGCTTCCTAATGGTTTTAGGCAGAGAGCCTCTCCAAGCAGGGGCTCGACCTCCTGGTGCTGCTGCCGGAGTCGGCTGAGGACGATGCCGCCGCGCTGGCGAGGGGCAAGAATCCTCTGGACCTCGCCGCAGAGGAGGTAGGGTCCAAACCCAGCGGTGCCGCGTGATGCCCGCGCTGTAACCACCCTTTATCCGCCTTACTGGATGATGCCGGGCTTAGCGCCGCAGCCTCTCCGGGTGCACGAACCTCCCAGCACCCCCCCCCAGGGCAGTGCTAAGGCAATTAGTGCTGGGAAACGGGACCATTAGCCTGCCAGGCCATGCTGCTGGCACCGGGAGTTTGTCCTTGTATTGGTCCCCAGCCAGTCCTGGCTGTTTGCACCCTCTCCCTCTGGCTGTTGTTGCTGTGGGACCTGGGATCCCTCGTGCTGTGGGGTCCTGGATGGGGATGTGTTCAATCCATCGTCATGGGGGGTTCTGGAGCTGGGACAAGATCAGGGAGCGCACTCCTGAGGGTCTGGGGATGATAGCACCCATCACCTGGCAAAGCCTGGCTGGCTCTGGCTGCCACGGGATGCCACTCAGCACGACCAGCCTGTCCACACCGAAGCTGCCACCGTCCCTCTCTCCCTGCAGTACAAGATGGCCCTGCGGAGGAAAAACAAGCATTTCAGGAGCATTCGGCCCACGCCAAGCGTGAGAAGTAAGGTCACCGTGGAACTGTCCCCCCGCTGCGGCTCAGCTGGGGCATGGCAGGGGAGGGGGGCTCGCAGCAACTGCTTGGGGGGCTGGTGGGCAGAGCCCTCCGTGGTGGTGCCACAGGCTGTGGGCAGCAGGAGCTGGACCCTTCAGAGAGCCTCTCCTGGTGCTGTGGTTGGGGTCTGTGGGGAAAGCTCACCTTGACCTTGCTCTTGTGCTGGTTTGGAGAGGTCAGCTGGCTCAGTGCCCTTGGGCGGTGGGTAAATGCCCTGAGCTGTCTCCTCACGTAGCCAGGCAGGGGTGGGAGGTTTGTCTGTGACTGTGGAAGCCATGGCATCTCCCACAGCCATCCCAGGGACCACCCTGGGCATGGGCGTCACCCACCCATCCACTCACCCAACAAACTTGGGGAGAAGACAGGTTCTCCTTGCTGCTGGTGTTGCCCCTAGAGCCCTGCATGCCTAGGAAGGGGAGGAGGGCACAGGGGGGGCACAGGCACAGGCAATGAGCAGCTGATGGGCAACTTCTGCTTTTCGGTGCTTTGGCTAAAGCAGAGCTTGTGCCAGACTCCAGTGGCCAGCACCCCGGTGTCCCCAGGTGACTCCTGGTGTCCTTGAACCCCACAGCACCCTGACCCCCATCCCAGGGAATACGTGGGGGGTGAGAAGGTGCCTGCAGGGCAAAACCGGGTGTGTTTGTGGGTGCTGCTCGTCGGACCAGCGCTGGCAGAGCTCCTTCCGTGCCACTGCTGCCTGCTGCAGGTTTCGGCTGCGGGGCTCGGCTCCGTCCCTGCCTGAGCATCTCCCCGCATCCCCCCCAGCATCCCCCGCACGCAAACCTCCAGCGGCGGTGGCAGGATCCATCCCGGGCTGCGCCGCAAAGCCGCCACGCGCGCTCCCGGCGGGCACGGCCACGCTCCCCTCCCCGCGGCGGAGGCAGCGCCCCGCTGACCCTCCACGCGTGGGCGAAGGTGACGGCGTCGGCGATGATGATGATGATGATGATAATGATGATGGGGAGGCCTGGCGAGGCCGGGCGTCAACAGGGACCCTCTCGCCTCTCGTAGGTGTCTCGGAGCTGGAGCCGGCGGCGGGTCGAGACGCCAGCGGGCTCCGAGCTCACCGGGCGCCGCCGTCACTCAGCCCCGCCGCGCCGCCGGCACGCCCTGCCTCCACAAAGGATGCTGAGCCTGCGAGCGGCTCGCTCCCCGCCACGCAGCCTGCCACCGCCACCGGAATCCTTATGGACCTGCCGACCGCCGGCGAGAAGCTGGAGCATTGCACCAAAGCCAGGCCCCGGCCCAACCGCCGGCACAAGCAGCCGCCCAGCAAGCCCAATGTAAGGGGGGGGGCGGCTGGCAAGGGGAGGGGGTGTATTTGGTGTGGTTTTCACGGTTTTTTTTTTTTCCTCTTGGGTGAATTATTGCGGTCAGTATTTGTTGCAAGGCAGGAAAATGAGATGCGCGGAGACGCGTTGGTTTTATTATCCCGCATTTCAGCTGCTGCCGGAGCCTCCTCCTCGGAGGGAGGCAGCCCCAAAGGGTGGGCAAGGGGGCTGGGGGGGAGGGGGGCGCGAGGGGAATCATCCATCCCCTTTCCTGCTCAGCGGTGGGAGCCGGCAAGGAGGCAGGGAGGAACGAAAAAACCCGCAGAGTTCGGGCGCAGAGGGCCGGCGATGCGTTCGGCAATGGCTCCGGCTGCCTCCCTCCTCCTGCGCTCAGTTTGCTCCCCCTCATCCAAAACCCATCGTCCCTGAAGCACCGGTGGCCGCCACGGCTCCCAGTGATGCTGCTGGGGCTGTGCCAGCTGTGGCGGGGTGGGTTTTGCTGTGCCCCCCCCCATCCAACAGGCGAGTGGATGGGGATCCTGCCTTTACACCCCCCTTCCCCTAGGAAAAGTAACTTTTGGGTGCAGTCGGTGGTAAGTCCAGCTCTGTCACTGTGCCTGGGGCTGGATCCTGCTGGCATCACCTTGTCCCCGTGCCACCGTGATGCAGCTGGATCCTTTCACCTGCTGGAGAGCCCTGGCTTGCATGGCCACAGCGGTGCTTGCCCTTGGATCGTGGTGGGATCAGTGCTGTGAGAGGCAGGAGCTGTGTCCCACGGGCAGGGTGGGCGCTGGAGGCTGGCAGGGCCAGGCAGGGCTGGGGGACCATCACCCTGCAGCGGGACGGGCACGCCTGGCATCCAGGGTGGGCCAAGGCTCGAGCAAGGACGGGCTCTGATGGATGTGATGTGACAGGGAGAGCAGATCTCAGATGGCTGGAACGGCTCCTGAACGGCATCAATCCAGCCGTAATGAAAAGTCATTATGGATTGAAATGTCACCGATGGGGAAGCGCCTCCCTCTCATCGATAGGAAGCCACTGATGCGGTGCCACATGCCAGGGAGAGGAAGGTGCCATGGAGGAAGGCTTGGCCGTGGCGTGGACCGTTTGGCCATGGGGATGGAATGAGAAGCCTTCATGCAGGCTGTGGTGATGCTCCAATGCTGGAGCTGAAGCCTCTGAGGGATACAGATGTGGGCCCCCCACACAGGTCACCTGCTCCATCACCCACCAGGAGTGTGGGGTCCCCTCCTTGGAGCTCAAACGGAGGAAGCATCCCTGTCAAAGGCTTCTCCCACAGGGCCAGCGGGGTCAGAGGCCTGGCCCAGCTCTAGGAGGGCTTTGGCAGGATTTGCCATTGTGTGTCACCCAGGAGGGTCAGAACCACCTCACCTGTGTGTAACACACAGTGAGTTATGGGTGCCATACCCAGCCACTGTGCTGGGGAACCCCACATGTGGCACCCAGGGGGTTGAGGGGCTGGCAGGAGCCTGGGACTGGCTGGAGCCTCCCAATGCTCAAGGGATGCAGCAGGATTAGAGCCGGGATGCAGCTGATAACACTGTGGTCTGGCTTTCATGCTGGGTACGAGACGGAGGGTGCCAGCACCTCTGTTGCATTGGCACTCACTTGTTGGTGTGCAGGCCTGGGTGACACCTCTTAGTGCCTGGGGGTACCTTTGCCCCACACTGGGCTCACAGCCGTGGTTGCTCCCAGGTGCAGCCCGTGGCCTGCGAGAACAGCGAGGACAGGAGCATCACCCGCGTGGACGAGGGGCTGGAGGACTTCTTTGCCAAGAGGCTCATCACAGAAGCACTGCCGTAAGCCTGGGGGGTCCCAGGGCCCCTCACCTGCCCAGCACCCTGGCACACACCCATCTCCTGCAAATGCTGCTGGTCCCAGTGCCAAAGGAATGCTGGGGAAAGCAGCACCCCCGGGGGCATTGCTCAGGGCAAGGCTTTGAGGGGAGAGGACTGGGACAGCAGCCATGGGGTGCAGGAGGTGGCCATGAGGTCTGTCCTGCACTGGGAGTGGGTGCCCTTGCCAGGATACTGTCATCTCAGGTGGGGTGAGATGGTCTCTGGATCCATCCCTTTGAGGTGGGTGGGGGGAAAAAGCTGATCCCTTGTCCCTCAGCAGCCTGCAGCTCACCTTTCCCAATGCTTCCTCTCTCCCCAGCCCTGCGGCTCCGGAGACCTGCCCAGGATCAGCCCCTCTGGCTCCCTCCGGCTCCCGCACCCTCAAGAAGAAAATCGGGAATTTTTTTGCCTTCAAGAAACCCAAATCCAGCCGGGGCTCAAGGTGTGAGAAGGAGCCCGAGGGTGGCCCCGCTGCCCCCAGGAGCAGGCGCTCAATGCTCAGTGACATTTTACGAGCCCCCAGCAAGGCGGGCGAGGCGGGGAAGCCCCTGAGTAAATCAGAGGAGGGGGGACTCGCCGAGCCCCAGGGAGAGCCCGAGCACTGCCAGACCCCCGACTCCGCCCGAAGGATCCGGCCCAAGTACTCTCGGGAGGGCAAATCCCAGTCACTCATCTTGCTGTCGGGGGAGGACGAGGATGCGCTGGGGGTCAGGCATGACAAGGTGAGCACTGTCACGGTCACCGAGCCACCGCTGCTCTTGGGCTCTCCCAGTGCACGCTGCTCCCACCCATGGGTGCTGGTGGTGGGGTCACCAGGGAATGCCGGGACACCGGAGCAATGGCTGGGGATGTCCCCACTGGGTCATGTCCGTGTCACCATCTCCCGGTGGCACACTCGAGGTTGGGGACCTGGGTGCTCCCCAGGCGGGCAGGTGGGTGCTGTAGGTGCTGTGGCGGGTCCGTGTCCCTGGCAGGGCTGTGTCTCTCCTGCAGAAGAGGCACCTGGAGAAGAGCGAGGGGGAGCTGTCCAGCTCCTTCGAGCAGCGCGTGCAGGTCATGCTCCACCGCATCGGCGTCACCAAGGGCCCGGCTGCTGAGAGCAAGAAGCTGCAGGTGGGGAGTGGCTCCATTTTCAGGATGGATCCTGCACCCCTGGGGTGGGTGGAGATGGTGGTCCACGGGGTGGGGAGGGTGACAGCTCTGTGCTGCCACTGCCCATGGCCTCTGCCCTGTCACCTAGCCCTCTGCAAGGAGACTGGATATGGAGGTTCCTATGCGCTGCATGGTGTCTGTCTGTCTGTCCCTCCTCTGGCATGCACCCACCCCTTGCAACCACTCCATGGGTGCTGCCACCCTGACATCCCCCTTACAAGGTTTCTTTCCCCTTGCAGAACAAAGACAGCGAGATCAAGAAAGCCGGCTCAGACGGTGAGGGGCTGCACCCTCCCCACCCTGACCCCCACCCAGCTGGGCACCCATGGGTGGGCATGATGAGGCCCTCTTGGGCTCCCAGCTGTGGGTCCCACCACATCCTGCCTGTGCTGGGTGCTGGTGGCACAGGGCAGGCCCCAGCTCACCAGTGGCCTGTGCTTGCAGGGGACATCGTGGACAGCTCTGCGGACTCCCCCCCATCTCTGAAGGCCCGCACACACTCCGTGTCCACAGGTGGGTCACCAGTGGGTGCCAGGGGGGTCACACCAGCCCCCAGGGCAGAGGGCTTTGTTATCTCTCCTAGCACCAAGCATGGGGATTGGAGCCAAGAGAGACTGGTGGGCACAGGCACCTGGGCAGGGTCCCACCCTCCGGAGGGTGCCCTGCACCCACGGGCGCCCATCCCTGGTGAGGGTGGATGGACACCCAGCCCATTGCCCAGCCCCTGGGCTGGCTGCAGGCTGGTTCCCAGCACCAGCCTACACTTCTGGACACTCACAGCTCCCTCCTGCCTGCCCCACAGACGCACCCTTCCGCAGCCCGGCCGCTGCGATGGAGCCCAGCGCCGAGCCCCGGCCAGCCTGGAAAGCCCTGGGGAGGCAGCTGCCGGCTGAGCCGCTGGGCACCAGCTCCGACCAGCCCCGGCACTCCTTCATCCTGCCCGAGCCCAGCGGGCTGCTGGAGCCGGGGGCCGGGAGGGCTGGAGCAGCAGCCTGCCACGGCTGGGCAGGAGCGTGCCGGCGGCGCTGCCGCGGAGGGTCAGCCACGGTGGGGAGGTGGGTGCTGGCAGCCCCCTGCCCACCCTGCCTGCACCGCCCGACACTGAAGGTAGGGATGCATGAGCTGCCCCGTGAGGGTCCCTCATCCCACTGCTGGCCTGTTCTTGGGAAGTGAGGGCAGCAGGGAGCCAAGCCACCAGCGCTGGGGGCTGATGGGGGCTGCGAGGAAGCCGGGGGGCTGCAGGCTCCCCCACAACGGCACCTCCCCGCTTTCCCAGACAACCGGCTGATGGCACGGCTGGCAGCGCCACGGGGGACCGGCCGCCGAGCTCTGTCCGTCCACGAGGAGCAGCTCAGGGACCCCGAGTGCCCGGCAGAGCTGGGAAGTAAGTTGGGGTGGGAGTGGGACCCCCAAAACTCCCCTTGCATCCAACACAAGCAGAGGTGGGCGGTGGCATTCCATGTGGGTGGTGGTGCTGCCGGTCCCGGCTGGTGGGTGGCAGCCTGTGGTGCCAGGGTGAGAGACAATGGCACGGCCACACTGGGAAGTTCCCAAGGGGAACTTGGCAACGAGATCAGTTCTGGCAGGAGCCAGGCTGCTGCACCCCACCACAACATGGGGCTGGGTTGTGTTTCCCCAGTGGGCACCGTTCCCCTGCGCCTGCGGCGGTCGCCTGTGCTCAGGCACAGGGCCAAGCACGAGTCCCTCTCAGAGATGGAGGGGGAGCCCGGACCGTCCTCGGATGCTGAAGGTGAGACACGGTGCTAAAGCAGGCGTTGGGGTGCCGAGGGTCCCGCCACGCTCACAGCTGTGACCTCTCCAGGTGCCACGCCGCAGGACTGGCCCTGTGCCGGGCCGGAGGAGCCGCAGGCTGGCACAGGCACTGACGGTGAGCGGCCACAAGCCCTGGCACAAACTGTTGGGAATGCACAAGACTCAGCTGCCGTAGACCAAAGACGCCCGGTGCCGGGCCGGGAGGAGCCGGCCCTGGGACAGTGAAGCCCCTGCATGACACCACACTGTTCCCGATAAAACCCTGCAAGCAAGTGCACGGTGCCGGGGTGCTTGGCAGCTGGGGTGCGGAGAGACGGGGCACCGGGCTGGCGTGGATGTGCCAACGATGGCATCGCCCAACTTGTGCCACGGGGACGAGCCAGCCCAGCATCACCCAGGATGCCCAGGGACCGTGCCAGAGCCTGCAGGATGCACCGAGCAGTGTCGTGGGCTGCAGAGCGGGGGGAGAGCCGGTGATTTTCGGCAGCCAGCTATTTTTAGGAAGTGTTCCCAAGGCGCTTTCACCACTCCAGCTCCTCGCCCCATGGGGTACCGCTCTCTCCAGCCCCCGCAAGAGGCTTCCATCAGCGGGACCACGACCCCCAGCATTCCAGCACGCAGCTCCAGCCCTGCAGCTCCCCGACGGCACCAGCGCCATCCCGACACCCCAGTGGCTTTCTCCTGTGTCGCCCTTCGCTCCGGACCAAACGCGTTCCTTACACAGATGTTTACGACAAAGCAAGATGCTTGTTTTGGTTTTATTTCTTTTTTTTTTTCCTTTTTTTTTTTTTTTTTTTTTTTTTAATACAAGAGCCGTGTATTTAAAAAATATACAATTTTTATTTTTAATTTCTACAGCATAACCCTGCGGGATATTTTTTTGTAACAAACGGTGCAGGACCCTACCCAAACTAATCAATAAAACATCCAAAGTCCTGGGGCACCTTCAGAGAGGGGATCAGGTTGTCAGGCCTCTGCCATCGCTGCTACAGTGGCACTGGGTCACCTCTCATCCCTGCTCACTGGGCCAAGGCATTTGGAAAGGATGGCAAGGAGGGAGAGGGATACCAGCTCGCATGCAGGAAATTCCTGCATGGATTTTTTTCCCCTCTTGGTGCTGAGGGTGCTGGCTTTCAACAGGTCATGTCCCAGCATCCCTGGAGCCAGGGTCTTTGCAGCCAGGCCAACCCCCTCAGTGGTCCTCCTCCTGGGCACATGGGTCCTGGTGTCCCCACATCCCCCTCCAGCTGCTCTTCCCAGTGTTTTAGTGGATATGGCAAAAGAAGGACAGAATGAAGAAGGGGGTGGGCTCAGGAATCCTCCTCCTCCTCCTCCTCTGTCAGTACCCAGCACGCCCACTTCAGCATTGCCTTGGAGATCCTGTGAAACCAGACAGGAGGAGCCGGGGTGAGAGGGAACCTGGCTGATGAGGGGTAAGGCAGAGGTTGGGAACTCGCTGTAGGGATGCAAGCAGTGATGCTCACACCCCACAGCAGGGACAAGGGACACCCCCATGGGTCCATGGCTGCACTGACCTGATAGACTGTATCTGCTGGCAGAGCTCGGGGCTTGGAGCCTCGTATTGGTACTGGGCTGGTTTACTCACATACTGCAAAAGCAAAGGGGAGGGTGAGACAGGTCTGCCCCAGACACACAGCCCTGAGAGCCCAACAGCCCTAGGAAAACTCTGGAGTCTCTCCCTCAATTGTTTCCTGCTCTTCTGATCTTATTTTACCCAGGTATATTGGAAGATGCTCCAAAAATTGATAGTTCCCACACAGCTCGGGCTCAACCACATCTTCACCATCCCTGGAGGGATTTAAAGGCATGTGGATGTGGCACCTGAGGCAACGGTTCACTGGTGGGCGTGGCAGTGCTGAGAGAACAGTTAGACTCAATCTCACAAGGTTTTTTCCAGCCTAAATGATTACACTTCCCCCAGTGTTCCCAGATCTTCCACCATCTACATTGACACCTGCTTTAGACTTCCCATCCCCACAGGCTGGTGAGGAAAAATAGGGGACTAGACATGAGGGTTGTGGGCACAGAGAACTTCCCCAGGGACCCCCCAGGCCCCAAAAACCCCACCAGCTGCTTCATATCTACCGGCTCCAGAGTTCTTCTGCGCTGCTCCGGCCTGGAGCTGGGGCCGCTCGCAGAGGATGATGCTTGCTCTTCTTTCTCCTCCTCTTCCTCAAGCTCCTTTCCACGTTGCAGCCCTGTCTCCTTTCTGCTCTTCTTTGCCCCCTGTGGGCTCACAAGCTCTGATCTCCTGCCCCTGCCTGTCCCCCTGCCCTTTGGGGTGCTTTGGGGCTGCTGCTGCCCACGGGGGGTCAGCAGCTCCTGGTCATCTTCTACCATCAGCTTCCTCTTGCCCCCCCTAGCAGCTTGGTTCCGTGTCCTGGCATGAACTGGACAAGGCTTCAACGCATCTGCAGGGAGAGCTGTGCCACTGGGGCATGCCTGCTCCCCGTGAGGCATCCTGTCGGGCATGGATTGCAATCTGCTGCTGGGAGAGACAGGGAAATCTGGAGAGAGAGTCGGCAGGGGGGCCTGAGAGCCCCTGGATCCCTCAGGGTCTTCAGCACCACAGGCTGCCCCCAAAGCTGATGCTGCCTGGCTGGTGTTGGTCTTCACCAGACTGGGACTGCTGTAGGAGCAGAGCAGGGAGGGAGAGGAAATCTGTACTGGCTCTCCCTGTTGCAATCCCTTGGGAGAGTCCTGGTTACACAGTTCTAGCAGGTCAGGGGTGTTGCTGTCATCAGCCACATCTTTCTGGCTCTTCAGGGAAGCGTCAGGTGGAAAGTTCTTCTCTGGTAAAAGGAAACACGTCATCAGTTTGGGCAGGGGGTTGGTGGTGGGACCTGCCCCAGCGTGGCAGGGTGGGCTGGAGTGTCAGAGCTGGAATGATGCAGGCACAGGGCAACGGGAACAAAGCCAGGCTAGGGCTGGGGCACATGCAGCTCTTGGTTGCAGATCGAGCACTAAATTTTTGGCCAGGGCAAATCAAGCCAGCATCCAGGATGAGCTACACCCAATGAGAAGAGAGGAGTTGTCTCCTGCCAACAAGGCAGGCTGGATGCCCTGGGACATGGGGACTCACCATCTGAAGAGCTCGGGGTCAAAGACAATGGGGGGATCCTGTTCCAGGGGTTGTCCATGGATCCCTCCAGGCTATCTGACAAGGCTAGTGACTCAGCATCTGCAAGGAAGAGGCTGGAGGGTTGATTTTGGCAAAGAAAGCAGCTGCCCACTTCCAACCCTGTGCACAAGGTCTCAGACAGAGACAGCTCTCGAGAGGAGCTCTGAAACCCTTTCCAGCCCAAAATGGGGTGTATTCTAAGACCTCAGCCAGCAGGCAGTGGAGAGGCAGACACTGCCCAAAGAGCAGGCAGTGGGAGGAAGACCTTCTCCTACACCCTGCACTATCCAGGACAGCATCTCTGTTCACCTCCTCCTCTACATGGAGCTTCTGCAGGTACTTCTGCAGCAAAGCTTTCTGACACGAGGGAATGGCTTCAAACTGACAGAGGCAGGGTTAGATTAGATATTAGAAAGAAATTCTTCCCTGTGAGGGTGGGGAGGCCCTGGCACAGGCTGCCCAGAGCAGCTGTGGCTGCCCCATCCCTGGAAGTGTTCCAGATCAGGTTGCACAGGGTTTGGAGCAACCTGGTCTAGTGTCCCTGCCCATGGCAGGGGATTGCAACTAGACAGGCTTTAACTTCCCTTCCAACACAAACCATTCTAGGATCTACAGGACCCACTACTCACAGCTGGCTTGGGATACGACACTTGGGTCCCCTGGCACTGTCCTGTCATCACTACTCTTCCCAGGAGCTGTTTTGTTTGTATCTGCAATGAAAAGGGCACTGTTGGTCGCATCCCAGCACGTGGCACAGCCAGAGCAAAGGACCTGTTCTCCCCCACTCCAGGGAGCCCCTCGTTTCGTGTGGCTGGGAGCTGCACTGCCCACCTGGGTACCCTGCAGATGCAGACACTGCACTGACCTGCCTTGGAAGAATCACAAGCAACTTCCTCCTCCTCAGGAGGGATCAGCAGGTTGTTGACTGGGACCATGAAAACATCCTCACCTTGCTGAAATGAGACACGTTATGTGGTTTTTCCTGGGCAGTCCCTCTCCTGGTGCAGGAGCCCACCTGTACCTGCCAGCTGAACACCATCTCCCTCCCCAGCAAACCTCCAGCTCTGCCCACCACCCTTCCCCTTCCTTCTCCCACCCCACCAGAGCACCAGGAGCCATCACAGCCCCATCTCAGCTGCTCCCAGCAGCCAGACTGACCTCTTTCTTGCGCTCTGCCTCCCACTTGGTGACAGGAACCTCGTCCGTCGCCGCCTCTGGCTTCTCCGGGGGCAACCGTAAATCCAAGCATTCCTCAGCGTTTTCCTTCAAAGTCTCCATCTGGTTGTGTCCTATGGCATCTATCAGCTGAGAGATGGAGGGGTCTGAAACAAGAACACACAGACAGCAGTGGAGACGACAGCTGAACTCTGGCAAGCCTCACTTGAAAATGCTTTTGCTGCATGACTGTCATGTGCACTGAAATCTGTGGAAACACCCAAAATTCTGCATTTCCTTTGCTTCTAGAAACTCTCTTTCCTTTCTCCACACTTCCTGGGCCAGCAGCATGAGCACAGCATGCCATGTCCCATGCTGCTTCAGCTATCAGCACTATCCCATCCTGCTTTGGGCTTAGCAACATACCCTAGTGAGGTCTGGCCATATTTGTGCTACCTCTGCCTAACACACACCGAGCTGAGGAAACCCAGGGACTCTACCAGGCAGCCAGAGCATCGTGTGTCCCCCACAACTCTTTACCTGAGCTGGGAGTGTTCCTCACAGCAGGATTCTTCCTGTAGTGACCAAGGAGAAGACAAAGCCAGGTTAGGGATGAGTCACATGCAGCTCTCAGTCACAGATCAGCACCCTGGCTTGGTAGAAGAGGCTTGTGGAAGTTGTGGATTCCCCACTGGGTGCCGGATCTGGCCACTGGCTCCTGTTCAGTATCCCAGGGATAGACATCAGGGAGCCTCACTCCTGGAGATGGACTGATGGAGAGTTGGGTCTCCAAGGGTGGAGGGAGGAATGAGCTGTGCAGGGCTCACCCACCCAGCTGTGCTGCCCACCACTGGCAGGAACAAGCTCCCCATGGGTGTTTCCTCTCAGCTCAGAGGAAGGGGTTGGGGAGTAAGAGCCCTCTGTGTCACCAGGATCTCATTTTTACTCAGCTCTGTCACAATCTGGGGCAGGGAGTCACAGGAGCTGCCACAACCCTTGCCAGACTGCCTTAACCCCAAGGCCCAAGCCTGTGTGCTCTCATCAGGGTGTCTGGATACATCTCTCAGCCCCACACTTACAGCCACAGCTCCTTCATCTTCTTCACCACAGAAGGCTCCTGGTTCCTGCAGCAAGAGAGGAGCCAGTTACTGATCCTCTCCAAATCCCCATCTTCCTTCTCCCTCACTGTGGAGACAATCCCTCTTTCAAAAGGTCCCCACCACAACCAGGTCACACCAGGACTCCTGGGGTCAGTGCTGCTCTGGGAAAACGAGGCAGCCCCCCTGAGGAGACCCCCCCACAGGCCTTACCCGTCGGCTGATTCTATCTTCTGCCTCTGGATGGGCAGCATGATGAAATCCTGGGCCTTGAGGTAAAACTCACAGTCCTCCTGTGGGGGAAGAGACCCTGCAAGGCACCTCTGCAGTCCCACCTCTGCCCCAGGGCCAGCCAGCACCCACACACCCACCCCAGCTCTGCCACCAACCCCCCAGCCTCAGTGAGGGTCCCCTCACAAAGGACAACCCCCTTAAACGGGGGGTTTGTACCCTCCTGTGTCAGCTCCTCAAGAGCCAGGATGGGCCAGCCCAGGGGAGGCTGTGGGGACACCTCTGAACCCCTGAGGGGACAGCAGGCAGCTCTGCCACCAGCCCTCACAGGTCTTCTGCCGCTGCCCAGCAGTGACAGCAAGGTGGCCCCAGGGGAGATGACACACCCCATCCCCAGGCAGGGCTCACCCCAGTGCCCCAGAGCCCAGGCCAGCTGCCACAGACCTCCCAGGAGCTGCAGGTGAAGATGAAAGGCCACCCACCCATCATCTGCCTTCAGCTCCTGGGAGCAGCTGGAAGCAGGCAAGAGCACAGGCAGCACAGCAAGGTGAAGGAACAGGCCTCTTCCACTCCTCAGAGCACTTACCAGCCTGGCCTCCTCCTGAAAACACACTCTGTACTTCTGCAGGACGATAATTCTGCAGGTGAGGCCGCCAGCACTGTCACACACGTGGGAACTGGAAAAGGAGCAGAGCAGAAACACCTTGGAGAGATGAAGAATGGAGCTGGACCTCCCCAGACACACAGTGGGGCTTCCCCCACATCTCTGCCAACCACACTGGGGCACGCTGGAACACGTCTAGGCATGAGCAGCAGGGACCAAGGGCTTCTTATTCCTTAATAATTCCTGCCTAGGAGCAGCTCCTTCCTGCTGCTTATCCTTGGCTCTGCTACCTGCACCCTACCAGTTTAAGGCTGTCCAAATGGGGAAATGGAGGAAAGCGCTGAAGGAGCAGCCCAGGGTTAATGCTCTGGCTCCTTTCACAAACCCCACGGGCTCTTCAGTCCTTTCTAATGGTATCACAGCTTCTGCCACGGCCCCCTGCCCATCCCAGCAAGCCGAGATGGAGCTTTCTTCTCCTAGCAGCTCTTTCACACCGACTTCCCACCCTGAGATTGCTTTAGCTTAACACAACCTGAAACAAGACCAGGCAGGAGCCCCACTAGCAGCTGTGGAGAACCGCCGTCCCAGCCACAGGTGAGTCATGGTGGAACCCACTTGTCCTTTATCTGCAGAGCGTTGGGGGAAACGACCACGCGGACGTAGTGGGATCCATCGGTGACCTGCAGGGAAACACCCCCGAAGACCCCAGGCTGGCCAGGAGCAGCCGAGTCACTCAGGACCTGCCAACACATTGGGGAGGAGGAGAAAAGAAATCTCAGCCGGGAAAGCTGTCACGGCACCAAGCCTGGCAGAGTTCAGGAAGCGCCTGGTCGGTGATCTCAGACACACAGTGTGGTTGTCACTATGGGTAAATCCTGGCGGGCAGCAGAGGTGGAGTGGGCTCAGCCCACGCTTCAGGACAGCACCAGTGGCAGCAGCGGGCAGGGCTGCTCTCAGGAATGGGTAAAAAAACCTGAAGAAGAGGGTAGGTTTGGGAGTTATAGTTTGGAAACAGATGGTGGAAGGCACGGCCGGAGCCCAGGGTCCAACTGTTCTCCAGGGTGTGGGGACAGGCTGAAGAGTGGTCACACTGGGAGAACTCTCCCCATCAACCCCTGAGACCTTGGGTGAGAGGGGATTCCCTCATTCACTGGTGACTTCATCAGCCCAGGCACAAGAGATCTCCAGCTTGGGAGAGAGAACTTAGGAGAGGGAAACAGTGATTCCACCACCTCCATGTCTTCAGATGGAATGAGGAACAGGACCACAGAGTTGGCTCTCACTCAGTGTTGCTTATTTCTCCCCACCTCATCTCTCCTCCTATTTAAATCACAATGCCCATCCTCTTCCTTCCTAACTTCCCCTGTTAGTGAGGAGACGTGAGCTCCCTCAAACATCTCCTTCCCCAAAAGATGTCAGGAGGTGGCCATAAACGATAATGTCCATGGTGGGATGCTGCTATAGCACCCAAAGGCTGTGGGGGAACCACAAACCAGAACACTGTAGCTGGGTTTCTCCAGCACTCATCAGTAACCCATCACAAGGCCCATTCAACACCTGCTTGTGCATCCAGTTGTCTCACAGCATCTTCATTCAAACCTTCCAAGCCCACACCAGCACTGACACCACTCAGCTGTGTTCCTCCTGCTTCCTTCCTCCTTCTGATCAAGCCTCAGACATCCCAGAGTCCCCTGACTAAAGCTTTCAGGAGCAGGTTTTGTGCCTTAGATCTCCATGTCCTGAACCGCTAAGGAAGAAGCTCTCCCAGAAGAGGAGAACAAGTCCCACCAAGGGTCACTGTCAGACAAGATGAGACTCCAGACACCTCAGCAGGTCCCGCTTCTGCCTTGTGCTACTGTCAGGACCCTCCATCATCAACTGGCACGTTACAAGCAAGGGTGGGATGCAAAGTGGACAAGGAGGAAGACAAGGCAGCCTGCAAGTGTAAGCCTAGGAGAGATGGCCTCTGAGACCCACAAACATCTTGGACAAGAGCAGGGCACGCCTACCTGGTGAAAAATCAGTCAAAGCTGCCAGAAATGGGCAAAGCAAAGCTCCTCCTCAAAAACAAACAAACAAACAAACAAACAAAATTAAAATCGGGGACCTTGAGGAGGAAGGGTCGCATATCCACAGCCACTAAGCTGGGAACCCCCGAGCACTTGCGTGAATTCAGATTTCAGGGGCTGTTGGAGCACTTTGGGACAGTCCCTCTCGGTACCCACCTGCACCACCTGCCCAGCCAGGAAATTCTCATGGTCACCCAGCCGGTCATCCTTCAACAAGAGGCTGACAATCCACGGCTGCAGGACGTAGATTGTGGCTGAAGACCCATCCTTGTGCACAAACACAGACCTACGGGAGAAGAGACGCCAAGCCATAAGCGACGCACCAATATCCCGGGGACGGGGGGGTTTTTGCATCCCAAACACAGCCACACACCCAGGAGACTGCTGGAATCCGGCCCGAATCCGACCCCTTCTCCGCAAGGGCCCATCCCGAGGGCGCTGTGCTGAGGGCACGCAGGTTGTGCTGGATCCCTCCTGGGCAGCGCAGGGAGGACACAGCGGCGCTGGAGCGTGCCTGGCCTCCTGGGAGCCTCCCACGTGCTTCAGGACCTTTATTTCTCGCTGGTCCTCCAGGCGAGACCCCGCAGAGCCCCCGCGGGTAGGGCTGTCCCCCTCCCCGGTGCCCCGCTCACCGCTCGGCCGCCTCCAGGCCCGGCTGGATCCGCCGCTCCCGCTCGGCCTTCCCGCCCGGAGCCGCGGCCGCCGCCGCAGCCATGGCCGCGACCCGGGAACGGGAAACGCGCCCGGCGGCGCCGGATCCGGGGCGGGGCGGCCGCGGGAGCCATCCCAAACCTTCCCCGGCCACACCTACCCGCTGGTGCTCAGGTGCTGGTCTCTCCCGTGCCTTATCTCGTTAACCTTTGTTATATATTTTTTTTCCTCTCCCCCTGTCCAGTTGCGGAGGGGAGTGATGGAGAGGCTTTGGTGGATGCCTGGCGTCCAGCCAGGGTCAACCCACCACGCTCACAGAAGAGCAGGGAGCAGGGTTTGCGCTGGCAGACAAAAGTCTGTCTGGCTGTGGAGGTGGGAAATGGGACTTGGCCCCTGGGCAAAGCATCAGCACAACCTGCCTGAAAGGCTCAGTCCCGGCTGCTGCTGTGCCGGTCTCTGCGCTGCTGCCTGGGAGAACCAGGCAGGGGCTGGGTGAGCGGGGCAGGGGGTGCCCCCATGGGCTTCCCCCCTCCTCGGGCACCGTGCACGGCAGAGTATCCCCAGCACCTCCCCTGGCACCTCACCTTGCTGGCACGGTACGGGTACATGGGGGCCTCTGGCACCCCGAGGCACAGCCCGATGGATGCCAGTTTGGTGGAGATGTTGATGACGGCGGCCCTGCTGCAGCTCAGCCCCTCCTTCCCTGCGCCCTTCGCCGCCCGCTCCAGGAGAGGCAGAAATTCCTGAGGCAAACACACCTGCAAAGCACTTCCTGATGCAAAGAGCTGGGAGAGGGTCTTTGGACAAGGGCATGGAGTGACGGGACGAGGGGGAATGTCGTGAAACTGCCAGAGGGCAGGGTTAGATGGGATGTTTGGAGGAAATCCTTCCCTGTGAGGGTGGAGAGGCCCTGTCACAGGTTGTGGTTGCCCCATCCCTGGAAGTGTCCAAGGCCAGGTTGGACGGGGCTTGGAGCAACCTGGGATAGTGGAAAGTGTCCATGCCCATGGCAGGGGGTGGAACAAGGTAAGCTTTAAGATCTCTTCCAACGCAAACCATTCCAGGATTACCCACTTTCTTGCCAGCTTTCTGGTACCATTTCCCATTCAGTGGCTCACGTGTGATGCCAAACCATCCCTGAAACCCTGCCTGGTTTTCACACCGTTTCTTTAATTTTGGCTCCAGTAGCTCCAAGCAGTCACAGAGTCTCCCCAGGTGGTTGCCCATGGGAAGAAGCATCCTTCCACAACAGGTTCGCACATCCTTTGCCTCCTCTTAAGGCATTAAAGCCCCTTACCTGATAAAATCTGCCAAGAAAACTGGGAAATGTTCGGGCTGAAGGAGTGGCAGATTCTTCCTCTAGCCTGGTTCAGCTGTGGCTCGATGTGGTTGGTGCCTTTTCATCCCCTTGCCAGAGGCTGTGCCTGCATCAGTGGGTTGGTGTGAGTGCGGTGAAATGGCACAATAGGATGGATTAGTGCCACACTGTGTCAGCTTTGCATGGACAGGTTCTGGCAGTGGGGGGGAGAGTGGGGGGGCTACAGGGGTGGCTTCTGTGAGAAGGTGCTGGCTGGGCCAATCAGGAATGACAGCAACGCCTCTGGGACAACATATTTAGGAAGAAAAAGCACAATGTTACTGCAGAGGTGTAATTGCAGCCAGAGAAGAGCAGAGTGAGAATATTCAAGAGGAACAACAGTGCAGACACCAAGGTCAGTGCAGAAGGAGGGGAGGAGGTGCTCCAGGCGCTGCAGCCAGGATTCCTCTGCAGCCCCTGGTGCAGCCCATGGAGGGGCAGCTGTGTCCCTGCAGCCCATGGGGGTCAGTGGGGGTGCAGAGACCCTCCCGCAGCCCGTGGAGGAGCCCACACCTGAGCAGGTGGATGCTCAGAAGGGGTTTGTGAACCTGTGGGAAACCCTTGCTGGAGCAGGATCCTGGCAGGGACCTGCAGAGCCGTGGAGAGAGGAGCCCACGCTGGAGCAGGTTTCCTGGACTTGTGAGCCACGTTGGAGCAGCCTGTGCCTGAAGGGCTGCACCCTGGGGAAGAGTGACCCACATCACAGCAGTTCGTGGAGAACTGTCACCTGTGGGATGGACTCATGCTGGGGTAGTTCATGGAGGACTGTCTCCCATGGCAGGGACCCCATGCTGGAGCAAGGGGAGGACTCTTCTCCCCGTGCAGCATCAGGAACATGTGATGACCAGACTGTAACCCCCATTCCCCATCTCCCTGCACTGCTGGAGAGGAGGAGGTAGAGCTGGGAAGGAGGGAGGGGTGGGGGGAAGGTGTTTTTAAGATTTATTTTACTTCTCATTATCCTGCTCTGATTTTGTTAGTAATAAATCCAGTTAATATCCCCAGCTGAGTCTGTTTTGCCCGTGGTGGTGCTCAGTGAGTGATCTCTCCCGCACCTTATCTCATTAACCTTTGTTATATTTTTCCTCTCCCCCTGTCCAGTTGCGGAGGGCAGTGATAGCGTGGCTTTGGTGGATGCCTGGCATCCAGCCAGGGTCAACCCACCACGCTCACAGAAGAGTAGAGAGCAGGGTTTGCTCTGGCAGGCAAAAGCCGGTTTATTGGGATGGTTGCGTGAGGCAGCACGCGGGTGGAGGATCAGATCTTCTGAACGCGACGGCTGGTCCTTGTGCAGTTGTAAAGGTCCTCGTAGCAGCATCTTCAGCTGGAGCAGGAAAGACTCCCCAGACTTACAGCCCCCAGTCTTGCCCAACCAGCTCCTGGACCTGTGGTTATTGATAATCTTAAACTACCAACACAACATCTCTGAACTCTCTTAAATATATCCATTCCTCTGTTGCAAACTGTCTGTGCAGTTTGGGTGATGCTGCAGCAGGAACCGACTGGGGAGGCCATGGGAACGTAGAGAATCATTTAGGTTGGAAAAGACCCCTGAGTCCAACCCAACCATCATCCATCAGATGCTCTGTCCCTCCCCACAGGGGAGCTATGGGGAACCTGGAGGGTTTCCCAGTGATCCCAGAGGGTTTCTAGGTTTCTCAGCCTGTTGTTATGGTGAAGGGACACTTGCCTGTCCTGACTGGCAAGTCAGCGCTGGCTTTGGCATTGAACAAATTAAGGCCAACAAATTGCGCTGTGCAGGGTCAGGAAATCCAGCCTAGCCTGCCTGACCTTGGGCGAGGGGAGGGACAGAGCCTGGGGATCCCAAGACAGAGTGGTGGTGGGAGAGGGCATCTGAGTGCAGGGACAGGAGGAGTGCTGGCCCTGAAAACTGAGCAGCTCAGGTTTGGAGGAGCAGGGAAGGTACACAAAGCAAAACTCTAGATATCTAGCCCAGGGCATTCCTTGCCTGGGCAGGACACTTGGCTCCCTTTGCGTCAATCCTCAGCCACCGGCAAAAGTGGATCATGGGTATGGACCACAGCCAAGAGATTGAGGTTCAGGCAGAGAATTTCCGAGAGCCACGGGCTGGTGCAAGTCCTCATGGGAACATGTGAGATAATCAAGGAGCAAAAGGCACCCGCAGAGTCCGGGTGAGAGCAGTGCAGCCAAGGACAGAGCAGCATGGCAGGGCTCCGTGTCCGCTCCCTTCTGGTGACTGGGGCCAACCGGGGCATTGGCCTGGGGCTCGTCCAGCACTTCCTGAAGATGCCAAGCCCACCCCAGTGGGTCTTTGCAGGCTGTCGGGACCCCAAGGGACAGCGAGCACAGGTGAGGCTGAGCTGGGAGGCAGTGGCTGTGCTGGGGGATGGGAGCACTCGGTGCCGTGGTGGAGATTGGAGCGGGGACAGGGTTTGGAAGGGGCTGAAGCTAAAGCTTGGCAGCCACAGCACAGGGCAGCTGGGCTGGAACACCGTGGGAGCAGCTGTGCATGGGATGTTTGAAGGGAACAGTGACACATGGCACGTGCAGGAGGCACAGAGCCCCATGTGATGGGAGCAGGGCAGCTGGAGCAGGGTGCTGGGCACAAAGCAGTGCAGGGATGGAGCCAGAATGACACGGGCTTTGCCTGAGAAAAGCTGAGCCTCTGCACAGCCCCTCCTGCCTCTCGGTGCCCACACAGTGCCCTCTCTTGCAGGAGTTACAGAATTTGGCCTCCAAGCACTCCAACCTGGTCATCATTCCACTCGGTAGGTGCCCCGAGGTGGGAACCTTTGCCCCAGTTCCTCTGGCGAGTGCCCAAGCACTGGGCACACCCTGGCATCCCCTGTGCTGGGAGGGAGCCGTGCCAGTGGGCTGCTGCTTGTGGGGCCATCGGGCACTGCCAACGCTCCTGCCCACGAGCAGCCCTGAAGGCACATCCCTGGGGGAACACAGGACACCCCAAACTACCACAGGGGCACTGAGCTCCCCTATGTCGGCTCTGCAGAAGTTGCCAACCCCGCCAGCATCAAGGAGGCCGCAGCCAGAGTTGGGGAGCACCTGGGGGGCTCTGGGCTGAACCTTCTCATCAACAATGCTGGAATCGCCAAGATCACCATGCTTGAAAATGAGACACTGGAGGACATGACCGAGACTTACACCACCAACACGGTTGGGCCTCTGCTGATGGGCCAGGTGAGACCCTCACCCAAGCTGGGCTGTCCTGGGGGAGCGGGAAGGGCTGGTGGAAGAGGGTCCTGCTTCCAATCTGGAGCCTCATGGGCTCTCAGTTGATAAGAAGCTCGTGGAGCCATGGGCTGGAGCTCAGGAGCTGGAGCCTGGCGGGCTGGGGCAGTGGGGAGAGGAGGGACAATGTTCTGCTGCTGGTGCCAAAGCTGCCCACTGTGGAAGGAGCTGGTCCTCTCCCCTGTGCCACATCCATGTCTCCCCACCTCCTCTTCCTCCTCACAGGCATTCCTGCCCTTGCTGAAGAAGGCTGCCCAGGGGAGCCCGGGCTCAGGGCTGAGCTGCAGCAAGGCAGCCATCATCAACATGTCCAGCATTGGCGGCTCCATCACTTATCCCTTTGGTTGGGAACTGATGCAAGTTACCTCGTACCGCTGCAGCAAGGTACTGTCACACCGTGCTGGGGACAGATTTGCTTCCCCTGCCCTGCCACAGCTGCAGGTCCCCTTGCACCCCCCCTTCTCCTCCCACCACCATCCCTGCCCTGTCTCCCCACAGGCTGCTCTGAACATGCTGAGCAAGTGCCAGTCCCTGGCATACCGGGAGCACGGCATCTTCTGCGTCGCTCTCCACCCTGGCTGGGTGCAAACTGACATGGGCAGCTCTGCTGGACACACGGTAGGAATTCCACCAAGGCGGGTCCATCAGAGCCCCTGTGCTGATTTTCCAGGGGCAGAAGTTGCTGTCGTGATTCCCTGTGCACAACTTCCCATCCTGCCTGATCCCTGCCAGGGCAGCTCTCCCTGTCCTGGTCCCGGGTGCTGGGTACCCCCATCCCCTCGGTTCCCTGCTCAGCCCCTCTGCCTGGGGTTGTCAGCTTTCCCCTCGCCCTGGAGTGGCTCCTTGCCCTGGCTCCAGCTGCTCCAGGGCCCTCAGCCTGGCCTGGGGCATGGGCTGCCTCTCCCCCTTTGCCCCACAGCCCCCCGTGACAGTGGATGACAGCGTGAAAGGGATGCTGAAGGTGCTCTCCTCCCTCTCCGAGAAGGACACCGGCACCTTCGTGGACTGGGAAGGGAAGGTCGTGCCCTGGTGAAATGCCAGTTCAGGATCCTGGCAGCTGTGGCAACCTTTGCTGCTGCTCCCACCTGCCCCACATCCTCAATAAACCCCTGTCAAGAGCTCCCAGCTCTGCTGTGCGTTGCCAGCTCATGGGGTGGCCCCTTCCCAGATGTCCCACTCCTCATCCCACAGCTGCCACCAGACCCATGGCTGTCGTTGCGCCCCCATATGTGACAACATGCAGGTCCCATAGCACTGTAACCACCCTGTGAAGACCTCTCCTGCAGGAGGCACTGGAGGAGCCAGGACAGAGGCCCTCTCATGGAGTAGAAAGGTCTTCCGAACACCTGCAGGGCTGGCTTTCCCCCTCTCCAGCTGCAGGGCACCCCAGGGCTGTGCTCAGTGTGGGCTGCCCAAGGGGCTGGGGGTCACAGGACCAGCTGTCCTCTCCCCTCAGCTGGGGGTTGCCTGGTCACAGGTGGGACAGACGGACACACAGCACTTGGGAAGTGCAAAGGCAGCATGTGCTGGGCTCAGGGGGAGAGTTTGAGGCTGAGTGTGTGAAGACAGAGCAGAGAGACATCAGCTCCCAGAGTTTACAGAGGTTGGGGGTACAGAGAGACTGCAGGGTCATACAGGGGGTGGGGAAGGGGAGAGAAGCTGCTTCCCAATCCCTTCCCCTCTCCCTCACAGCCCAGGGTGGGCTGACGACAAGCAGGGTGACCACTCAGAGGGGTGAGCTGGCAAGCGGGAGGCTGTGGCATGGGCAAGAGGCACCATCCATCTGTCCATCACCAGGGCAGGCAGTTTCCTTCCCAGTCGAGGAAGGCTCCGGAGGCGTCCTGCGAGAGGCTGCCCAGCACGGTCAGGATGCCCCGCACGCTCTGCTCCACCCTCAGCGGTGCCTGCAGAAGGGGACAAGGCACAGCGCCACTGCCACGGGCTGTGATCAGCACAGAGAACAGCTCTTGGGCAGAGCAGAGGGTGTGCAGCCTGGGAGCAGCACCCACGGTGCTCATGGGCATGTTTTTCTTTACTGCCACCTCTCTGTTCTCCAGGCTGGGGGGGACACAGGGCTGGATGTGCTGCTTGCTCTGACCCAGGAGATGGTCCTGGCAGCCCACACAACATCCCCCAAGCGCCCCTGCCCTTCCCAAGATATGGGGATACAGTGGGTGTTCTGCTGTCCCTTCCCTGCACAGCCCATACCTTCTCGGTCCCCATGTCAGTCTTCACCCAGCCAGGATGGATGGCCACACACAAGATCCCCTTGTCCTGGAGCTCCGCAGCCAAGCACCTTGTCACCATGTTCTGGGCAGCCTGGAAGAGGCACAGCCCTGCCAGCACCACCTGGGGCATGGGTGGGCAGGAGGGCGCACATTTGCCAGCCAGAATTGGCTGTGGAGGTGGGAAATGGGACTTGGCCCCTGGGCAAAGCATCAGCACAACCTGCCTGAAAGGCTCAGTCCCGGCTGCTGCTGTGCCGGTGTCTGTGCTGCTGCCTGGGAGAACCAGGCAGGGGCTGGGTGAGCGGGGCAGGGGGTGCCCCCATGGGCTTCCCCCCTCCTCGGGCACCGTGCACGGCAGAGCATCCCCAGCACCTCCCCTGGCACCTCACCTTGCTGGCACGGTACGGGTACATGGGGGCCTCTGGCACCCCGAGGCACAGCCCGATGGATGCCAGTTTGGTGGAGATGTTGATGACGGCGACCCTGCTGCAGCTCAGCCCCTCCTTCCCTGCGCCCTTCGCCGCCCGCTCCAGGAGAGGCAGAAATTCCTGAGGCAAACACACTGTTAAGGCCTGACAAGCCCCCAGCTTGAGGACCGCCCTGGAGGGCTCTGTCACACACCACGGATGAGCAGCTGGACAGACACCCCCAGCAGAAGGGCAGGGGATGGGGAGGATGCCCCAAGGAGTGGCCCAGCTCCAGCCTTTCCTCTCCCCAGGGAAGGAGTGAGGTGGCACAGCCAGCCTGGGGCGGGCAGGAGCTCCAGCTGGGGAGGAACAAAGCAAGGCAGATGTTGGGGCTGGGCTGCTCTGCTGAGCTCCTCTGGGTGGGCAGGGGAGACCCATGGAGGTGGCCTTATTCCCATCAGGGAGCCATCCCCCCCAAGCAGGAGAAACCCAAAAGGTCCACGTGTACCTTGGTAACCTGCAGTGGCCCAACCACGTTGGTGGCAAACACGGCGAGCATCTCCTGGGAGTCCAGGGAGCGCAGCGTGGCGTGTGAGGCGACCCCTGCGTTGTTGATGAGCAGGTTCAAGCCCTGGTCCTTCAGGTGAGACCCCACAGCCCCCACGGCCCCTCGGATGCTGGGCAGGTTCACTGTGTCTGCCAGGGCAAAAAGCAAAGCGGAGGAGAGCTCCTGCAGGTCACACAGCACCCACTGGAGACTGTGCTGTGGCTGGAATGGCTCTCCCTACACCAGCATTACCCAGAAAGGACACAGCAGGTTTAGCAGGTCAGGTTATCAAGCACATTGAAACGATTAGCAGCTTGTCCTCGCCTCTTGGTTTTGCAACCTCAGACAAATTAAACCTCAGTGCAACCCATTTTGGCTGTATGGGGGCTACTGGTAGGAAAAACTTGCTGTATTTGCTTTCTATATTCGCTTTCTGTACCCAAGGAATTTATGATTGCAGAAGAGGTGCTTGGTCTTTGCACACCGAGACTCCCAAATTTATTTCCACTGGAAGCCAACACAGATGGGCACATCTTAAGGACAGACACCATCTTTGGGGAAACAACCAAACCATGCCCTTCAAGCCCTTCTGCACTTCACAGCACCTATAGGGCCTGTTAACATAGAGGGGATTATTGGATTAGATGAAAATCCTTTCTGGTTTATACCACTCTGACCAATCATTTTGAGTTGCCTTTGCCTTTTTAAACAATTTGTGCTTAAATTGATCTTCCACAGAACAACTTCCCATAGTTTTGCAGCCCTTTGTATGCAAAAATCCATCCTTTTTCCTATCCTTTGCCTTCTGTTTAGATTTTTATTTGCTTCCTGTTGTTACTCACAAGGATTTGGAGCTCATGGATGAGCTAAGGTGAGTACAAGTAATAAAGGATTTGGGATGTAACCTGCAGTGTCTGGTTGCAGGCCCTGAGTCTGAACTTCCCCATCCCTGCTGGCCAAATTGTGGGGACAATCCCTCTTAAGCAACCAGAAACAACTGAAATTGGGCTAACAGGGATAAGCATCCCCAGTGCCTTCCTCTTTGCTCAAATATTGGGATGGTTTTGAGATTCTGCCATGCTTTTATTGCAGGATTTTTTGGCTGTGGCAATAAAAATGGTATTTTTTTTAACTTTTTGTTCAGCTTTCGAGGTTGCTTGTTGGGATTTGTGTCCCCCCAGGTGCTCACCCACTGAAGTGGCCGTTGTTTGTTTAAAAGGGTCATCTGAACACCTTCAGGATCTGAAATGGGAGGGTCAAGCCAACATTAAACTTTATATATTGCCTTTTAATGCCTCAACTGAGCCCTTAAGAACCATGAATATTCAAGCATATGGGCATGTTGGAGTGTGCCCTTGCTCCCCTTGCACATTTCTGTGCCCATTTTTTTTGCAGATGCCAATCTGATGAGCCTGCTGGGAGGGGGTGACCGCAGGGCTGGATTCCTCTTTTTTTGCAACATTTTGGCCCCTGAGCTGTGTTCCTGCTCTCATGCTTAGGCAAGAGTGACTTAGCAGAGGTTTCCAAGGCTGAAGACTCCCTTCTTGGAGTATTTCATGCACTGACAAGCAGCAGAACCCTCCTTTTTCCTGGCATTTTTAACCAGCCTGGTGTCTTTATGGTGGTAAGCAAGTGTGTGAGTGGCATGGGACTAGTGCCCACCTTGCCTTGTGCAGCACAGACCTTTGTAGAGGTGCCCTGAAAACATCTGAGGGGAATGTGAGGGGATGGAGCCTTGGGACTTGAGAGGGCATGGCCAGCTGCAGGGCACATCACAGAGAGCTTTGGAGTGACTTCCCCTAAAATGATCGGATGAAGTTCAAGGCTCTCCACCACGTGTGAGGGATCTTTTGGTCACTCGGTGAATGATTAACTGCTCTGTTTGGATTAGCTGAGTCATTGCTCAGAGGGGACAAGCATGTTTCTAGTTCTAAGACACCAAATTTGTTTAAGGAACAAACTTTTGTCTCAGAAGAAATGAGAGAAGGATGAGAAAGAAAGAGAACAAAAGGAAGTGACAGATCTTCCACGCTTTGGAGTTACTTTTTAACTCCTTTCTGAAAAACCCATTCCTGTTACTGGTTTGGAGACAACCTTTCCTTAAGATGGAGCAAGACAGACTGAAGCACTTGATTCTTCAGTTTTTTTAGCTTATTTTGGGACTTCATTGATAATCTGGGGTTTGGGTGTATGTCTTTTAGTAAAGGTTGTTTATGTAGTGGTCAGTCCTCTGAGATGTCCATTTTATGTTGGCCATGCTTTGGTGAGTTAATAAGCATGTTCTTCCCATCAGGTACTGCCAGTTGGGGCTCACAGATCATTTACTTTTTTATTGCAGAGAAGGTATTTAATAATCTACTTAATAGCAAGAGAGAGACTTGCTGCCTCTTTGTAATAAAGCCTGACTTCAGGAATGTCTCATTTGCTAAGAAATGCTAAAAAACCTGCACTTTGAAAACTCGAACTTTTCAGGTGTTTTCAAACAAATAAATAGGTAGATAGGTAGGTAGAGACTGATATAGTATGTGCATGGCCTTTATTTGGTTTTCTTATTACTGGCTACTTAGGAACCATCCAGTAGATTTGCTTGCTGTGCCCTGCCTTCCTCTGCTTTGTGACCCATGTGTCCCAGCCCAAAACTTGGCCACTGTATTTAGCATCTTTGGGAAGAGATGCCTTTCCCATGAAACTTGCTCAGCTGAGGTGTCCAGACCCACCTGTGCCTCCTCCAAAGCCAGTTCGACTGCCCCAACCAGAGGACAGCTTCGCTTGGAGTGAATGGATCCCTCCCCACGGATCCCTCCCCGCCTGGCAGGGCTAGAGCTTCCTGGCCAAGCTGCCCCTGGTCCCATCCCCGAAGCCAGCAGAGGACTGGAAGCAATGCTGGATGAAAGGAGAAAGATTGCTCCATACCTAGCTGGACCAGTTTGATGCTGGGGTGCTGGGCAGCTAACTCTTTCAGGGCCTGGAAAAGTGATGGAGCAGGCAGGAGGTTAGAAGTCACTGGCAGCACGGCCAGGTGTCCCAGCCCTGCTCCCAGGTCACCAAGCCAGGTGGCTTTGTGTTTTTTGGGGGAAGTGTGTGGGGCCATTCCCAGTGGATGGGGTAGGGCAGCATCCCCACAGCCAGCAGGAGAACGGTGCTGCTGGGCTTAGGCACTGCCCCCTACCCTGAGTGATCCCAGCATGGAGAAGGGATTGGCTGGCCATTGTCACAGCCAGGAGTGAGTGTTGAAGACATGTCTGCCTCTCCAGCCTCATCCCACCCAGCTACATCATGCACTGCCTTATCCAGGGGACTTGGGGAGGTTATGAGACCCCCCAGAGCACTCCTGCCCCCACTGCTGGGCGACCCAGCCAAGTCCAGAGCCAGCGGGGACCTCTCAGGGCTGTGGGGACCGTGGATTCCCTCTGCCCACCTGGCTCAGGACCATCCCCGTGCCCTGTGCCCACACTGACCTTCGCTCTCGGGCCCTCGGGGTCGCGGCAGGTGGCAAAGATGTGCTGGGGGGGCCGGGGGCTGGCGGCGAGCTGCCGCACGAGCTCCAGCCCGATGCCCCGGTTGGAGCCCGTCACCAGGACGCTCCGAGCCAGCGCAGCCATCCCCGCAGCCTCCGCGCCGGGCGGTGACACATGGCAGGATTGCCGCCTGCTCCGCGTGAAGAGGAGCCAGGCACAGCCCAGGGTGTGGCTCTGGGCGCCCACGGGGACGGGGACAGTGCCAGCACCAGCCCTGGCCCCTCGCCTGCCCCAAACAGCGCCAGGGTCCCCGGAGGATCAAGAGGTCTCAGGCGTTTTGGCACGTGGGGCTGCGTGTCTCCTGCATTACCCAGATTCCCACCACTTCACTCCTCTAAAGCCCCAGATCCCAGAGTCTCTGTAACAGCAGAAGGGTCCACCTCTTCCACAGGTTTTGAAGAGCACCACCAGGAAGAGGAAAACAGGTTCAAATCTGACTGTGGCCAGCAATCTCCCAGTTTGGAGAGTGAATTTGGGTTGGTTGAACCCTGGTGTGCTAATCCAAAGCCCAGCCTAGGAAGCACAGAACACTTTCCCCCTGAGCACCCAACCCAGGAGCCAGCAGGGAAGGACCCTCAGCTTCCTGCTGACCCAAGCACCGGCTGCTGGGACTCCAACCTCCTGGCCATCACCTTCCTCCTTGCTGGAGGAGAATGCTGGATGCCTATCAGCCCAAGAGGTGCCTATAAAGTAAAGGCTCCTGCAGCCCAAACCAGCCTAGGAGCATAGATTTCTAGGATGTGGAAGTGCTAAAAGAAGCAAAGAACTGCCATGTAAAGAGCCTCAGTGGAAAAAGAAGAACTGGGGCAACCTGAATGTGAGGAGGGAGAGGGAACAAGAAGACGAAAGTCGTGGGGATGGGTCCATCCCATCTGGATGTGCCCAGTGGGACACACCTGTTGCTCAGCCTGGCAGAGGAGACAGAAGTGTCTATTCCCTGGGTGTTGAGGGGTTCCACATCTGGTGATCACCAAAGAAATACACGGAAGGAAGTGAAGGGGCCCCCAGTTTGGAAGATGAGCTTTCAGGGGACACAGAGCATGGAGGGGAGAAAGCAGTGACATTTCCTTCCATCGTAGAGGCCAGACTATGGCCCCCATGAGAAGTAAGCGTGCTGGGTGTGGATTTGGGTGGTGTTGGAGTCGGACCTGCTGTAGCAGACGTTCTTGAGGGTGTAATCACCTGTGCAAGCAATCGCACTGCACAGACTTGCCTGCTCCTGCTGCTATCTGCCAGCAGCATCCAGAGCAGAGCTCCCATTAGGAACCAATATGACTGGAGTTTCCTCTTTTCCTTCCAGGCTCCTCGGGAAGGAGACAGCAGAAACAAGTGGAGAGGGCTGCAGGACCAGGGATGGTGGGAATGGCTGCGGGCATTCCATGCTAAGCACGGGAGGAAAGCACCAAGTGACCTTTGGAAAGGGCTGACGGATAGTGGCCAAGGAGAGCAGCACATGGCTCGGGAATCACAGCCCAGGGAAAGAAAGGATTCCCTGGGGAAGAGATTCTCTCTTCATGTGAGCAGCCAAGGCTTCAAGGCAGGGTGTGGGGCTGTGCCGGGTGGCCAAGGCTCTTGGTGCAGCACCTCACCGTCATTGTTGCAAAACGGGGAATGTGTCAGGATTATCTCAAGTCAGGATGTTCTTTGATGTTAGATTTTTGTATACTTTCAAGCCTAATCAGCAAGAAAGGAGGGCTAATCAGTGGAACAGGCAGCAGCCAGCATCCCTTACTCAAGGACATTTTGTAACCAATATGCTTCAGGGATGACATTGCTAACTCGGCAAAATACTCAAGGTCCATGTGTCCTAAAGCTGAACTATCTTCATTATAATACTAAAAATCACACCTACAGGTCAAAAAGTACCTGCCCAGGGTCCCCAGGTGAAGACCCTTCCCCTGAGCTTGTGCAGAATTTACCTGTGGTTGTGTGATTTGTGTGGGAATTACTAATCAATCGTAATAGAGGGGACTGAAAATGCTACTTTACAGCTTGCAAAGTTACTCAGAATTTGCGTGTAAATAACGGCACAGAAAGGGTTAGGGTTAGGGGCGCGCTGGACTTTGTGGAATACCACCGAGCACCCAGGCTCGGGCAGCTCTGAAATCAGTAATCAGTCTCTTTCTCTCTCTCTCTCGAGTTTGTCAATACTGGCTCGTTGCACACGGGGGAAACCAAACCCGATTTTTGCGGGTGACCCTGCTGCGCCCACAGGGTGGGCACCCCTAAAATGGCGGCGCCCGGCGCGCCCTCAGCCCGGCCGCGTCACGTGACCGCCGCGTTCCCGCCATTGCATCAGCCGGTGGCGGGCCCGCCCCGCCGGTGAGGAGGGCGGGGCTTGCTCTGAGCGACAGCTCCGGCAGCCAATGGGAGGCGTCTCCGCGGCGGGGGGGGCGGGGCGCGGCGCGCGCTGCGGCGGCCGGCGGTGAGGGGCGAGGGGCGGCGGCGGCCGCGCAGGTACGGCCGGGGGGCACGGGGGATCCGCACCCCGGGTTTGGCCGCCACGGCCCGCCCGGGACCCCCGCGCCCAGGGGAGAAAGGGAGAAGGGCAGGAGGGAGGGTAATGGGGGAGCATGGTGGCGGTGGCGGTGGCGGTGCCGCTGGTCGCGCCCCAGCCGGGCCCGCGGAGGGGGTGGCGGGCCCCGCGCTTCCCTCGCCCCTCCTCGGGCACTGGAGAGCGGGCGATGTCCGAGCAGAGCCCCTGGTCGGCCCTGTGCGCGGTCCTTCCTTCCTCGGGTCGTTCCCTCCTCCAGCGTCGAGGTTGGGCTCGGTGATCCCTAAGGAGTTTTCCAGCCTCCTTAATTCTGTGATTCAATGAACTGCTCCCAGGCTCTGCTCCCGGGGGGGATTCCCGTCCCTCCGCTCCGCAGCGGGCTGCTGGGAGCTCGCCCCATCCCCCCCGCTCCGTATCTGCATTGCGCTCCGCTGACAGGGACAGCTCTGTGCGCCCGGGGACACTCGGGCGGGGCTGCCCTGCAGGCTGTCACTGCCTCTGGGGTGCCTGGGGGGATGTGGGTCCTCCCAGGAAAGGCTTCCGGGCATCCCATGAGCTGTCCCTGCTTCGAGCAGGGAGGGTGGACAAGGTGGTATTCAGGGGTCATTTCCGAACTTGGCTCTTCTGTGGTTTAATTATAGAATCACAGAATGGTTTGGGTTGGAACAGACCTTAAAGCTCATCAGATTCCACCCTCCTGCCGTGGGCAGGGACACCTTCCACTTGATCAAGTTGCTCCAAGCCCCATCCAGCCTGGCCTTGAACAGTTCCAGGGATGGAGCATCCACAGCTTCTCTGGGCAACCTGTGCCAGGGCCTCACCACCCTCATCAAGAAGAATCTAACCTAAATCTCTCCTTTTACGGTTTAAAACTGTTCTCCTTGTCCTGTCACTATCTGCCCATGTGAAAAGTTGCTCTTTTTTTTTATAAGCCCCCTTCAGATACTGAAAGGCCACAATGAGGTCTCCCCACTCTTTCCATTTAATCACCCTGAAGGCTTTGATACCTTGGCAGTTCCCCCCTCCATCCATGTCCCCAGCAACACAAACCCAACATATTAAGTTCAGTGTCCACGTGAATTTGCAATTTTAAAACCATGCATTTTCAAAGAACAGGTAACTTGATGCAGAGCCCTGAAATCAGGGAGGTTGGGGGAGAGGAAGTTTGAGGTTGGGCCAGCGCTCTTTGGGGCATGGTTGAACTGAGGAGTCAGTGAGTACCTACTGTGGGGGGACTTTCAGGAGATGGAGACGATGATCCTCATGTTCAGAGTGAGCTAACAGCACGTCAGAGCCTTGCTTGTTGTTGTTTCTTCAGACTGCACTGAGGCCTTGCCGCTTCCCTGCCGCCTGCTTTGGACAGCGGTGACTCGCAGGCTCAGGATGGAGGCCACGCTCACCGCCAGCCAGATCCGGCAGCGCTTCATCAACTTCTTCAAGGAAAACAAGCACACCTATGTGCACTCATCTTCTACCATCCCCCTGGACGACCCCACGCTGCTCTTTGCCAATGCTGGTATGAATCAGGTAGGTTTCCCACCCTGGCACTGCGGTCCTTACGAACGCACCCTGTTTGCGGCATTTTTTGTGTGGAAAATTGTTATTTCCTCCGTCTTCCATCTGGTCACAATGAGATGGTTGGTGTGTCTGGTTGAGTCCTCTCTGCCCTCACAGAATTGGCAAGAGCACTGGAAGAGAGGTCCCTGTGATGGGAGCTCTGCCAGACTCCCTTCCTTGACCCTTTGTACCGCAGCCAGTCCTGGCACAAATGGCTACTGGCATCTTTAAAGAGTAGTTTGGGACTGACCTCCTGGCAAGGGCTGTGCTGCAGATCAGCACCCAGTTTTTATGGTTTGGCAACTGGGAATCTGACAGCTTCCAGTCCCTTTGGAAGTTCCAGGGTTTGGTGGGCTCCAGGAACATGTGTGTGTGTGAGTGCTGAGTTCTGGGCAGTGCTGCAGCCTTGCCACAGGCAGGAGCAGCAGGTTTGTTTCTGAAAGGTCAGTGATATTGTCACACAGGTGACACACACTGCCGTGCTGTTGCTTACAACATTTGGAAACAGGCTCTGAGTGCTTTTCTGAGTTGCCCTTTTTTCTCTCCTCTCAGTTCAAACCCATCTTCCTCAACACTATCGACCCCTCGCACCCGCTGGCTAAACTGAGCAGAGCCACCAACACTCAGAAGTGCATCCGAGCAGGGGGCAAACACAACGACCTGGACGACGTGGGGAAAGATGTGTACCACCACACCTTCTTTGAGATGCTGGGGTCCTGGTCCTTTGGGGATTACTTCAAGGTAAAGCAGGCTGGCTGAATCTCCGGCACAAATTTATCTCTGTGAGCTCAGCACAGCGGTTGCCAAGAGGAAAGAGAATATTTTGGCACAGAGGTGCGTGTGGCTCCTCTGGGATAAATGAGGTTGGAAGCTGCCCCGACCCTGCAGAATGATTTGAGATTAATTACTTAAGGTTTACAAAGCTGATTAAGTTAACTCTGCTAGTTTGGAGTCCTCAGACAGAGGTTTTTGGGGTTGTCCTGGAGCTGTGGGGAGTTACATGTGCTGTGCAACTATGGTGGACCTTCAGACAGGAGTGATCATACAGTGATGATGCCCTTTCCCAAGCTTCTTGATAGGGTAGTGTTCAAAGTCAGAAGGAGGATGTTAATAGAAAACAACAGCAGAATTGAAAGGCTTTTTGGAGGCAGTGAACATGCTAGGAGTTTACTTGGCTGCATCAGGAAAGTCATTTGAGATGTTTCTTGTGCCCTGTTCACTACATATATTCATTTGCCTCTTATGTCAAAGGTGGGAAAGTTTTTGGGTCTTCACCTGCTGGTACCTACAGTGGCCAGTACTTTGGATGTTGAAGAGAAGCTGTCTTTGCACTCACTTGCTGACCTCATCTTTCCTTCTGCAGGAACTCGCTTGTAAACTGGCACTGGAACTTCTCACCAAGGAGTTTGGCATTCCTGCTGAAAGACTCTATGTCACTTACTTTGGGGGAAATGAGGCTGCAGGGCTGCAGCCAGACCTGGAGTGCAAGCAGATCTGGTTGGACTTGGGGTAAGGCCTTTCAGTGAGGAAGGTGCATGTTTTGATGAGCAATAGTAATTTGTTTGGCTTGGATATTAG